ATTACTTTTAGTAGTAGATAATATATATATATAATAATATATATATATATATATATATATATATATTATTTATATATATATTTATGTGAGAAGATTGCTAAGTAAAGCCTAGATATGATATGCAAAAAAAATATTCTTAAATGCGATCCTGGAAGATAAAATGAGAAATAGCATGTTACTAAGCTTATTGATTAAAAGGAAAGTGATCCTTAATCCACTTTCTCTCAAGAGTAATTCATTGTCGATTGCATCGGCAACTTTTCCGTTATTCGTGGGGGAATATGCGGCAAGAATGCAAAAGAAAATGCAACTCTTAACCTTTATGCAATATCATGTAAAAGCCGACGAAAAAAAAAACTGAACCCTTAACTATTTTCAAAAGTACTATCCGCGGTGATATCCCGAAGTACTTGTAACATGGCAGAGCTTTTGAATTCAGCGCCATACTGGAGCAATTCATGGCGGCTTACCCAAGCGTGGTCCTTAATCGGTGGACTGATGTTTTCAAACCTCGGCCGTCCCGCTAGATAAGTTGCAGTAAAAATAAATACTTGAGTGTTATCATCCTCGACACGCACAGTGGCCTGTGGGGCGTTGGACCAAAAGTAGCACGTTAGGCCATCGGCATGATTAGATGACAATGCACGATCAGCAGTCATACGCAGTGACTCGCTAGATTGACGCTCAGTGTTTGGTATAGTCCACTTGCTGCTAGAGGACTCTTGAACAATAAGATAAAGAAAATCATCTAGTTTGCGATGAAGCGTGTGTCTAGAGGGTGGTGCGGCGGTTTCATGAGTGGTTGGGTCCCACAGGTCTGCCGCGGTAACACGCTTTTCCGGCCTGTAGCGTTGTAGAACTGCCTTCATGGCATCCTGATAAAGTTCTAGTCCAAAAAAATTTGCCTTTATTTGGTCAGGGGCATTACGGTTGAGAATATCCATGGTTTGTCCACGACTAGTCATGAAATGTGTGGCCGACTCTGACTCCTCATGTCGGCTGTATCGCATGTGCTCGCGCTCCAGTAGGGAGCTCATTTCTATTTCTAACGGATGTGGTGTGCATTTGACAATTTGATTTCGATGAATAAGGTACCCCACGTGCACTCGAGTAAGGGGCTTTGGGTCCCTTACATGGATCTGAGGAATTATTGGGGTGCGGTGTTGAGAATTAAAATTCCTTATGTTGACACCGCAGCGGAGGTGAGATAGCCCACAATAACCTCGCATCCAAGCGGATTGCATGTGGCAATGATAATCGCAGCCGCTACTTTACTGGCTTCTGAGCAAGAAACTTTTTATGATATTTTCTACTGGGCATAAACGTGTAGAGAGAACAGGGTAGTGTATCCAGCAGGGAGAAGCCGTAAATGATGGCTAGAATGCACCACATGACAATGGTTATGGTTGTTTTCGTTGTTGATGCTGTTTTCCATTTTATGAAGCGCATAAAAATAGTATCGCCTTTTGGCGTACTGCAATAAATAGACAGATATTGATCGATAGATATATAGACCACAGCATACCCATCGCTCAGGTACTCACGTTAAACTCAACTGCACCATCGACAAACCGAATTTCACACGTTTTGGGTCGCTCTTTTAATCGATCGATCAAGGTGGCGACCAGACTGGCCTGTAGATGGACGTCGTTGTTCACAGTACTCTTTATTAGTCGGAAAAATGTGTAACCCATTACACATGCGGGATCCTCGGCCTTAAAAAGGATATCAATACGCTTACCTCCGTCAACGCACTCATCCCTTAATACAATCCAAAGGCAGCGCACTACTACAGAAATCCCCACTTGCCTGCTAAGAAACTTCAAATGCCAGATTTCACTCATGAATGACAGAGTGCCAGCAGTGTCTTCATGAAGATAATATCCATGTATTCATTCCAAAACGCCTGTCCCCTCTTGGAAAGGAGGTGGAAAACCTTACCACCGTTATTCTTGGTGGTTCGAACGATTCCATTAATCTGAACAGCGCTCATGGATACAAGACAATAGCTGGCGTCGCAGCCCCAAGATGTAGAATCCAAGGTACAGAAATGGCAATCTGTTCTGTTGCGATGTACATGAAGAAATCTATGGAAGTGTAACGCCATAGTTTCTATAATTGGTTAATATTGTCTAGTCCATCTCTTGAAAGCCAAAACACGTCGAAGCACCGGAACTTGTTAGACCAACTACATTCAACATCTGAGATGCACCACTTGATCAATTCTTATTGACAAAGGCTTTGATCGTCGCCTTTATAAATTTTGAAATCAAACAACAACAAGAACGGCAAACGGAATTTCATATGGAAGGCATACAATATATATATATATATTTGTGTGTGTGTATGTAAATACTTCACAATACTAAACAGCTTTAAAGTACTTGTTGGCAGTCATTTCTTCCTCCTGCAAATGGTAAAGTAAATAAGAAAAACAAATACTCTAAGCGATTCCCATAATGTCAGATCAATATGAGCATTAGTCTTACCCCCACACCTTTGTCTTTTCTGTTCGTGAAGATTGCTGTTAATTAACGAAACCGATATCGACACGCAACCATATTCCACTTTGAAGAGCTTACGGATACCTATTTCGACATTAATTTATAATGAGATGAATGCGACGCTCAAAGCGTTGATGTAAAAGGAGCAACCATGGATTTGTGAATAGATACCGATGTGAGAGAACATGAGGAATTAAAGTGTAGGTAAATATTGAGCCTAGTGTTACAGCAGCCTAAAAAAAGCGCCCTGGTAGTGACAGCGGTAGTAAGACGTACCGATGCAATCATAGCGGGTTGCCTCATATAGTAAGCTCAAAAGCTGTGCCTATGTTTATAGGCATGCATAGGCACGTCCATTGAATATTTATTTTGGCTTCAAACTTTGGGCCTGCGTATAAAAGAAAGAGAAAAAAGAAAGGGAAAATCAATGGTCTTTGATCGAATTCGAATTTTGAAAAGAATACATTCCTCCGTTTGAAACGCATTGGGAAAGTAAAGACACAATAAGGGGAACCCTTCCAATCGGCGACATACAAAAGCACAGAAATCAAGCATTATCTTAAATATAATTTCGTATCGAAAAGAAGATAATGTACAGAAAATAACAAAACCAAACGTGTTTTACATGTTGACCTGATGATCAATAATCGTTAAAGTGGAACGAGAAACCGTGACTTGCTTTGTGCACATTTTTTTGAACCACAAGAATCATTTTTCAGCTTACTAAACGTTACCGTAGGGACGCTATTTAAGACCCCCTCATCATCGGTGTATTTTTCTTCCAAGCCTTGAATCTGATCCATTACATATTTCCGTAATGATGCCGGTGCCACACGGGTGGCAATAGCATAGCAAAGAGAACGCCAATCCATGTTTTCCGTAGCAGCCTTCTGAAAAGCCCGACAAAGAGCAGAAGTATTCCTTTCAGTTTCAGCGCAGTAGCACTCTGTAAGCTGGATTAAAGACTTTTCCTGCTGCCACTGTCGCTCCTTTTCATAAAATTCCCGAACTACCTGCCGTTCTCGCAAAAGTTCATTCTTCATACCGTTAAACGCATCTATAGTGCTACTCAGCTCACTGGCTAAATCAGCATTTGCCTTTGTGAGCTTTTTTACCTGCTGCCGTAACTGTACATTGTCTTCGAACAACCTCCGACGCATGTTTTGCGAGACTACCAATTCCACAGAAGGGTTGGTGGTGATCTCGTTTTTCGTTGTAGGCTTTGTGTCAGTTCTACCCTCCAATTCATGTACTCGTGCCTTTAAAGTAGATATAATCTCATACAAGTTCTGTATTGCAAGTTGCTGCTCATTAATGGTTTGAATAGTCAACGTGTCTGCTGAGTGTTGCCTACCCTCAAATGCGTCATTGCAATCCATAGGAACTAGCTTAGCGCTGTGAGGAACTTCGCTTCAATAGCCTCTTTTTTACTATTCACCGAGAAAAAAAGAAATAAAAAGAAAGTAATATGCATAAACATATCAAGATTTTGCAAAGGGAAAGCATATCGCCATCGTTGTCAAGAGCAGATCAGGACGTTAGACAAATCGGATAACAGATACATATACAGCCTCGTAAAGTAGTATGCTTTTTGATCAAATAGATTATACTATTGTCACCCAAATATATACAATTTTACACCAGTTTTATAGAATGCTAGAGAGTTTAATATGTAATATCAAAGGATTCAAGATAGCATAGTATCCTAAGCTTCGACATGCATTCCACCACCTTGGATAGATCAAACAAGAAAAAAAATTCGTATAATCCACTTGTGTTCTAGTTTAGATTACTTACGAAAAAACAATAGAAACATCCCGCGGGACGAAAAAAACGATATATTTATCAGCATGCGCCCCAAATGACGCCATTGAACTCAATGTTATCATAACAAAACTTCTCTACACATAAATTCTCTGCCAGCTATTTTGACATCATACAATGCGACCTATTTTTCGTCACACTCCTCATCGCTAAATGGGATCATTTTTGAGGTGGCGCAATATAAGATGAACAGTGGATGCAGCAGTAAAATTAAGAATAATATTTTATACGATTAGAAGAGTCGACATTCTGGTTCTATATTTACAGCTTTCCATTTAAAAAACTTGTCGTTACGTTTCCTGACGTAACTTTAAATGCTTCCCTTAAGTTTAGGGTCGTAGTGGAATCAAAAAAAATCATTAATTAATTAAATAAAAAAGCAAAGAACATCATCCCACTCAGGCACCATCACCGAAGCTTCAAAAACAATCGGAAAAAAATGTCCTAGCCAAAACCGAGATGCAACACTTTTAGATGTGAAAAAAAAGTCACAAGCAAAGAAATAACGTACTTGCGTTGGCAATACAGCGAGAATGGCTAGGAACGCATGCACATTTATCAGACACAAAAAGCTTTGCACAACTATACTCTTTCGAGAACGAGAAAAAACACGTCAAAATAAAGCTTTTGGGATCAATGTGAAGAGCCATTCAAATAGAACTTTAAGTTCGGACTTCACCAGGTCATCTGAATCAATAAGAAAAGTTACAGGGGTAAAATAGAACATGCAAGAAAAGGTGTAAATAAAAAGAAAAAAGCTCTCACCCCTTCCGACGAGAGACTATTTTTAGTGCAATGATAGCGAGGATCCGAACAATTATCCATATAAAGCTAAGCGATAGCCACATACACAGGTCAGTCGACTGTGGGTCCGGGTCAAAGCCAAGCTGTATCAGCACGTCCTTGCCATTGTGAGGCTGGTTGTGACAGAACAACTCGCCATATATCTTCTCGTCGCAGTCGATATGATTAATATATTTTAACTCATTCCGTAACAGAAGGATGAAGGCATGCCTAATATACGAAAGCTTTTCGAATACGTAGAAATACGGCCTCAGGCGGTCGGTACTGGCGAAAAGGCCGCTCGCATATATAAAAGGCAAATTTATCAAGGCCACCATGCTAGTGGCGAGCGTCAGCGATTCAAAACACGCTGAAAGCAATATGCCAATACCCACACAAACATCCTGAAACATCAACATAACGCAAAAGTACGTGAAGAAGGCACCGGCGGAGGCGTAGAGTCCAGTTAAAAAATATATGATAACCGATTCTATGAGACACAGGAAAACTAGAAACGGCAGCTGAGCAGACACAGTACCAGCAAAGTAAATAAAAGGTGAGTAGGAGCCAGACTTTTGCTCATTCAGGAAAATCACACGAGCTCTATGGAATAAGCTTAAAATGGCGTAAATAGAACCCATCAAACGATTCGAAATTACCATATAAAGAAGGCCCTCACGATCCTGAATACTTGCGGTATCCATGCCAATGTGCATGAAAATCAGCCCAGCCATAAATGCAAAATAAAGCGACTGTACAAAAAGTGCTACAATGAACACACGGTCCCGTCTTAGCTCATCAAAACGACGACTGAACACTTCGCTGAATTGGATGAATATTGAGGACTCGAATTTTTTATTACATAATCTAAGGAATTTCAGCGCGATCGAATCTTCGCGTCGCATCACGACCCGGATGGAGGTCGAGTGCGGGGTGCGCCTACCACCTCTCAGATGCTTTTCCCATCGCTCCACGAGCTCCTGCGACGTCCGCTCGTCCTGAAGCAGCGTCATGAAGTAATCCCCCGCGGTGTAGCGCTCGGGGCACTTGAAGCCGATAGACTTGAAGTATTCCAGCGAATCCGCCATCGTGCCGTGGTAGGCACAGTGGCCGCCTGTCAAGAGCATGAGGTCATCGAAAAATGAGAGCACCTCGGCGGTGGGCTGGTGGATAGTGTAAATGATGGTGCGGCCGAGCCGAGCCAGCTCTCGCAGCTGGTTTATCAGCTTCGCGGACGTCACCGAATCCAGCCCCGAGGTTGGCTCGTCCAGTAGCAAAATACTGGGATCGCAGATGAGCTCGACCCCAATGCAGGTCCGCTTCCGCTCCCCCCCAGACAGACCTGCGCTTGCGCCTGGCACACCGACCACTGTATCCTTGCAGTGAACTAGTTTTAGAATATCCAGCATCTCCATCACACGCCTATGGGTCTCCTTGCGTTCCGTTCCACGACGGGTGCGCAAGGAGAACCACATCGCGTCATATGGGGTAGTCATTGAGGAAATAATATCGTCCTGTGTTACAAAGCCCAACGCTTTGTGGAAAGTCTGCTCGTACTGAATGTCGCCAAGCTGGCGGCTTCCAGACAATTTGCTATCACCGCCAGAGATCAGCCGGTCAGAAATGGCATTCAAAAAGGTTGTTTTGCCAGCACCAGAAGAACCCATGATCGCCAGACAGCGACCAGATAGCGCGGTCCCGGTGAGGTTGTCTAGCACCTGCCTGTCACCAACTCGGTAGCTCAGATTGTGCCACGAAAGCGGCAGGCTGAAGTTACTAAGTGTGCCAACACTTGTGTCAAGAATTTCTGGATCAAAATCGATGACAGAGGTATTCAGACAAGGGGACATGCCAGCGATGTTTAAGGTGTGCCCAGCCATAAGTGAAAAGCTTAACGTGTATTCATCAAGACCACACGAGTCCTCAGTAGACACCGCCTCGATAAAAGAAGGTAGAGAGGATAACATCTGTTAGAGAGGCATATATATAGATAGATAGATAGATAGATAGATATATGTGTATGTGCATGCGCATATGAGCATAAAAGGGAGGCTTGCCCAATTCTAGAACAAAATCAGCGAGCAAAAGAGAAAAATTAATAAAGCAAGTTCACACTTTCCATGCAAGCACACGGCACCTTCCTCAATAGCGTACCTGTAATAGGATAAATTCCTGTGATAAAATCATAAAAATTATTCCACAACATAGGTATGTATCTTAGCCCCTCCACGTCCCTAAAAACTCATCCAGCACAAATATGAGGATACCAAGCATAACAACAGCGTTTGTATATTAGATTTTTCTTGTTATTGACAGCATCTATTATATTCTTATTCTTTAAGAATATTAATTAGGCCAGTTCGTTTCAAATCTACGGTCCCACGAATCCCCCCGTACACATCGTGGTGATATCTGTGAATGATAGCCGTGTAGATTAAAAGAGATTCGAAAAGAGAGTTGACCCCTGGACGAGGAGTCAGACGTCTGTCAGTAATCTGAGTTCGGTAGCGTACATAAAAGTACGGCTCACCCGTATCCCCTACACAGATAGCCAAATCCTGGGTCTGAGAGCTACTCTGAAAGCCTAACCGGATGTATCCTTCCATTCCCTCCACAGAAGTGCGAATCACATGCAGAAGAATATGTGCATCGCAGGGAAACCCTTCACGCCACGTATCGGTATCCCCACCACTGTGTTTGTAGGAAAGCAACTTCTTACTTTTAGTTAGCGTTCCTAATCGTGACACGACGTAGTGCTGTCGAGCAGCAAGCTCAGAGTTGGATGTCACTGTACCCTGAGGAAGCGTGCGTGTGACATCTAATCGTTTTTCAAGTGCCAGTCGCTGGTTTAGGTGTAAGATAACGTTAAAGTCCTGCACAACAGACTGCTGAAGCTTCTGTCGTTCAGAAAGAATCAGCTCTCGTTTTTGTACTTGTCTCATCGGTTGTTGCTGTAAAGGTTGCGACTGGCCCCATGTGAATGAGGAGCTCGACATCGAGGTGGGAGGTGGTCTTATGGAGAGCGTTTCTTGCAGTGAGTGGTTACAGTCAAAGGCCGTCAACTCCTGGGTGGCTAGCCATTGGTTACACTGATCGACTTCACTGCTAAGACGAAAGCAAATGTCACGAACCCACTCCCTCACGCGAAAAAGCGCCTGCTCAGGGTCATAGACACCTAAACTCAGCCACTCTGCGTCACCAAAAACGTGGGACTCTGAATGGCCCTCTATAGCTGAACCGCAAGCAGCGCCCGTGGCAGCTGCAGCTTCCCTCAGACGCTCCCCACGAGCGTCGTCATAGAGCACGTTAAGACACCCTTCCTGCGGAAGCCTCACGCCTCCAGTTTGGACTCGAACAGGGTTAAGAGGAGTGCCCAAAGATAGTGAGGGCATAACAGGCTCTGTTGAGGCTTCAGAAAATGGCTCGAAGGTTTTAGACCCAAAACGTGTCCCAAGAAAGTTGTCTAAACCTTTAGCGCTACATACTGAAGTTGTAGAAGTGACAACACTTCTTGGGCGGCGTGTAGGTACTGCAGCAACCGTTTGGCTATGTCCATCCAGAGATATGCCGCCCACCCTATCTAAAGGCACACCGGCGCGCAACCCCTCTTTCCTATCATCTTCCGCTTTGGGGTATGAAACCACAGGATTCATAAGTGAAATCACGTTTGATGGACGCAAGTTAGATTGCTGGTGGTCACAAGTGGTTTCAGAACCCTGAGGAAGCTCCGTGGACGAGCAGAAGTGCTCAATATTTGAAAAATGAAGAGGTCTTTTATCTGGTCGTGTACAGTGCAAAAAAGCGAACAGCAGTGCACTACTCATGAAGAGTAACCAGAAGAGTAGACCTGTAATCGTCGCGGTCCAGCTATCCTCTAGCACCTCCACTAGTACCTCATCAATCCAAATGTGAGACGTTGGCTTCGGATGACGCCAAGAAGAAAAACAGCAGATTACATATAGAAGCAGAAGGGCAGTTGTCGTGTACTTCAGCTGAGTAATGCGACCCTCGCGTCCCAAAAGATGGGTTTGTCGCTTGTGCTCAGTTTCTAAAACCCTTTGACAGTGAGAATAGCGCATATAAATAGCCTTTCTTGTTTATTCTTTTTCAATTTAAGCTATCAAAAGTAATGGACCTTACTACTTCTTTATTTCAGATAAAAATGTAGAGGTCAACCTAGAATTATCAACCGATCCTCTATAAAGCGACAGGTGCGCAAATACTCCTGTGGAATTACAACAGGAATAGCAAACAGAAAGAGATTATGTTATCAAGCCCATCCATCAGATTTAACAAAAGATATACGTCAAAGTAAAATATTCGACTTGAATGCCGAAACTACATTTAAAATAAATACATGCAAGATAATAAAATATAAAACCCGTTTCATAAGCCCGATCTTCTTCCTTTTTCTTAATCCTTTGATGTGGACTAAAAAACACCACTGTCGATAATTACCACTTTTTTCTCTGGGCGATCCATTCGTCCCGTCTTAGTATTTTCAATCACCCTCACAATGTCCATACCCTCCAGAACTTTCCCAAAGACGACGTGACGGCCATCCAACCATGGTGTGGGAGCAGTTGTAATAAAAAACTGAGAGCCGTTCGTGTTTCGGCCAGAGTTCGCCATAGACAGCGCTCCTACAAAGTGTTTGATATTGAAGTTTTCATCATCAAACTTCAGTCCATAAATTGACATGCCACCAGTCCCGTCAAAATTAGTGATGTCACCGCCCTGAATCATAAAATTGCGAATAACCCGATGAAAAATGGAATTTTTGTATCCAAACCCTTTTTCTCCCGTGCAGAGCTGCTTAAAATTTTCTGCAGTGCGTGGTGTGTCATTGCCAAAGAGACCAATCACAATCCGTCCAAGTTTTTCCTCACCAATAGCAATGTCAAAATACACTTTCGAGGTCACTTCATACTCTGCCAAGACAAGCCCATTAAGTAATAAGATCACCGCAATGAATGGTAGAAGGTACTTAAAATTCTGCATGATTACTTACAAAAAAGGTGTTTGGATTCCCCTTTTTTCGAAGACAAAATGTGCTAAGCCTTATGTAACTAAATAAATCCACCTGAATTATAGATCTTTGTTGGGCACAAATAATTTTGGAAGGCGATATCCTTACAAAGAAGGAGTCAATGGAAAATTCATCTCAAATGCACAAAAGGAAAGACTACCTACAAGAAGTAAAAGTTTTATTTACATAAATTCTTGCTATCGCGTTCAACAAATCTTTTCCCAAAGAGAGTTAAGCTTTCACAGAAGTGCATAAAGTACACTTTCTGCCCTCGAGCCAAATGTACATTTTTTCTTCCAGATTACAATACACACCCAGATGCACAGGGATAAATAAGAAAATGGCTAGTGAACCCAATCAGCTAATCATTCGAAATTAGCGTGCAGGTTGACGAGAAGACATAACATCCCGGAGAACACGAACTCCCGACTTCTTTGTACTTTCTTTTACAGTATCGACGGTGGAATGATGGCTTTCTTCGCGACGTAAGCGGTCACGTACCACCATAAGTGTGACACCCATTAGATTTTTGCCAGTGCCGTTGCCATTATCACCCCAAAAGTCATCCTTTATGGTGTGGTCCACTAAAACACATTGTTCCGTGCTCAAAAGTACTTTTCTAGGTTCCTCATTTTGCTTAAATTTAAAATACGTGCCCAACAGCATCACATCCAACTTGATACGGTTCCACTCCGTTCGTTGGTAGCCGTTGGCTTCAGCCTCCTTAACAAGACGATCCAACTCCCATGTCGTGGTGGCCCGCTGAATGCGCTGCTCTACTGGGAAGTCCTTGAAGCGTTCACAGAGGAAGTAATGATGAAGGGAAGGGTACTGATGGTGTCGGATAACCACTGGATGAGGAGATAAGGGGCTGAGCATACCATACTTTGGGTCCTGCACATCGTGAAACTTGACTATTCTTGCTGCGGTACTTTGAGGCTTACGACTAGACATCCTCTTATTTCTTCTTATGTAAGAATAATTGGCAGTGACGAGTGAAAACGAGTTTATAAGGAAAAGAATATTTAAAATATCGAATACCGATTAGTAACATGTTTTTTAAAATTGTATCTGTTTAGCAAGATCACACCCCTTTCACAGGCTGCAGAATTGCGGCGAGAGCTAAACAAAAAATGAAAGCGCATGTGATGTGCATATGGATTTATTTGCTTCTTTGCTCCCCTTTTATCCTCCATAAAATTAGATACACAACTCCAGTGATTCGACATGAATGACTGGACAATAAACCAAAATATCCAATGAAACTACTTTTCTCACCATACCTAATTTTCCAAAATTGTTTTTTCCTAAAGATGCACACCTGATTTACAGCTTCAACCCTACGATGAAATAATCAAAATACTTCGCTATGTATGTTGTTGGTGTCCTCCCTCAGTGGTTCCGACGCAACTTTGCTCTGACTCTCCTTTCAGGACACCACCGTTGCATTAATCTCTGCGTAACTCAAATATTTCTGTGCGCACATGCTCTTTGGTGATAATGACAAATTGAACGGCATCACCAGTATAAATGTCGCGCTCCGCAGCTCCTGTGAGCGCATTCTTGAGCATTGACAGGGTCTCCTCCAATGATAGCTCAGGAGGGGCCTGCCCATTGAAATGTTGGTGTGTGAGGAGGCAATCTAGCAGTGGCTCTACAAAGCTGGCAGCACTGCCCCGAGTGCCGTACTTGAGAGGCTCTGTCGAGCCAACCGCATCGTAGCTGTAGCATACGCCCTCACCCTTCTCATTGAAACCGACGATCATATTGAAGGTGTAGTATGGAAAAAAACGACGCTGATAAAGCAGTGTAGACATGAGTTGAGCAACCGCACTCGTCGATGGCATCTTGCCTCGGTTGTTATAGCGATACCACTTGATGCGGGACTTCATCATTTCCTGAAGTTGCAACCTGTCCGCCTGCATCCCGTTGCTGGCCATGAAGGTGTGCTCTGTTAGCTGAAAAATTTTGGACTTGTCGTGACGAGTGTGCAGGCAATAGTCTCCACTCAGACGCGTGTCACCCGCTAGGATGACAAAATCCTTGCCAGCGATGGCAGCCGTCGTACCACCGTTATCCGTGTATGGGCTCCACTCGGCATGCTGAAGGGCTCCCTGCTTAGGCAGCTGAAGCACGGAACTTGCGAGTTTCTGGGGATGGTTCGTCTTGCCGTATTCGGAGTGGTCCTCAATCATAGTGTAGTGGTATTTTTTGAGAAATTAATGTTCCTCAACGTAAATAAAAAGATGCTAAATAGGAAAGAAACAACTGTTGAAGTAACCAAAAAAAAAAAAGAAGAATGAAGAAGAAAAAAACACAAAAAAATAATTAAATACGCATGTACAACACAAGAAAGGTTTAGACGATTTCTTTTCATTATCATTTTGAATCACAGAATCTGTCAGCAAACCTTAGAAAAAAAATCATGCCTATGAAAGCCTTCAATCACACTGAACATTGGTACCTTTAGATAGAAAAAGGAAGAGCTTAGCTAATTTGAATGCAAAAGCCAGGACGTTGGTAAAAAGAAAAAACTCTAAATGAACCTGGGGGACTGCCTTATCCTTTAAATTTACGCCTATCGCCCTATTCCCTCAAGTTAAACGTAAATAATATAGGTAGCAGACCAATTTACAAAGGAGATTGGCAAAAAAATACCAAGCACATTATCAAGAGGATTGAGACACCTTCTTGAGACTATACTCATTAATCATCTCCAATTCTCGTTCCTTTTCCTCTACACGCTGCCGATAATGCGACCGTGCCGCCTCACAAGCGAGACAAGTATCACCCCTGGCTATGATTCGTCTAAACTGCATATACATCTCATAAGCAAAAAGAGAGGTGACTGTGATGGAAGCCAATAACCACATGTTAAAGTTTTGAGAACCCTCATGAAAGCCAAAGTCACGGGTATTAAATATTTCCCATGGGCGTTCCCGTGGGCGCCGTGCCTTGGGCATACGCAGACGGCGACACGGCGTCCAACTCAACATAAGTAATAATACTACTACCGCACAGAACTTTTCCCCTTAGAATAGGTTATGAACCCTAGGAAGATAGAATAAGGTCAACGTCATAGATAGCGGGAGCCCCTGGCAATTTCGTACATTTAGCAGAGGCACATATTTTTCTCGATACTGTAAATTAGCGGAAGAACAACATTCTATTTTAATGATACGACAATTGATATTAGGAAAACTAAAGGTGACCGATACCCCTGGATCCAGTGGCCACACCGCACAAAGGGGGGGGGGGAGGGGGGGAAGGAGGAGAGAGAGTACGATTAGTCCCCTTCCAAACCTTCTAATATTTAAGCTCGACAAAGAGGGTAAAAGAGGTCATGAGCTTTTCGACTCGCACACACACTCATAAGCCAATTAAATTAGACTCTAGGAAGTATCGAATTAATAAAAGTGGGAGCAAGCCAATTAATGGCGATAGAATTAAATTCCCAAAAGCCTACTCCTAACACTAGCTACAAAAAGATTCTGCTCATTTTTCGGCATCAAATCCTTGGCAAAGCTAAGAAAACTAATCGATAGGAATAAAAGTTATATCAGCCTATTTAGGGCAAGATTGATAATAATTATCACTCGCATTGGCACGGACAATATCAAAAGCACAAGTAAGCTCCATCATTTTTGTAATAGACTTTTGTAAGTGCTCATAATTGTCTAAATCAAAGACCAGATTAAACAGGACATCTGCACCGTGCCGTCGCTGTCGTTTGGAAGCTTATTGGGGATTATAAAAGGGCAGAGAATCCGAAAACAAGTCCACAAGCTTTGGATCCTCTAACACACGATCGCAGGCCTGGCGAACCGCGCCGTTAGTGGGCCGCCGCTCAAATACCATCAGTGTGCGCTCCTCAAATTGCAGTGGCGTGAAGAGGGTGCTGCTGTATTGCAGGCGGTCCTTTTGATGTAGCCGGATGAGTGGCTGTGATGGTTTCTTAGGGTTGAAAAAGAGAACACTCTCCAGAGGATCCTCCTGTCCTTTCCCTTGGTTAATGACTACCACTTCCGCAATAAAATCATTTTTATCTATCGGAAACGAAGGATTCGCATGATCGATGATGCACTGGCACCAGTCGATGTCGGCTTTTATTAACGTGAGTTGATTAAGCTGGGATATATTTAATGACGTGGAGAATATGATGCGATATAGATCTCGCTTGCGCAGACGTTGCAGAAGGAGTTGTGCCGGCCGAAGACGAGGTTCATCACTGGCCTCGATTGCCTCCAGGATCCAGTCCCCAAGCTTAAGGAATAGATCCTCATCCTGCGCGCACTCTACAATGGTGTGCCCACAGATTTTAAAGTATGGTGCCGCTAGGTAAAAAATATCACCAATCATGTGGCCAATAGCCTTTGTAACCTGATGCTGATAAACATTTTTATGGAGCTTTGCGCGTAACAAAAAAATCTCGCGCAGAGACAGAGCTAACTTCTGCTCAAATGCAAGTTGCCATTGTTTTTTTTCACACACCAAGCGAGAGGAATTAAAGAGGCGATGCACACGGACATCGACGGTGGGCTTGCCAAAGCAACACATGGAGTCGCGTATGAAATAATCAAGCCGATCTACATCCACACCGTTGCGTTTGTTACTGATGATTTCGCTATATGCAATGTGAGGGGTAGCAACACCTTGCATTAGATTAATCACCGCGTCGATTTGCGGCTGAGGTATGAGAGGCCTTAATATACGACGGGCTATCCGCTCTGACATTTCTTCGTGATTGAATTCTATGCCAAAACGCTTTAAAACAACGTCTTCAAAGAGGTGAGAAAAGGGTCCGTGGCCTACATCATGCAAAAGACCTGCTAACATTCCTACTTGAATGTCCGCTTCGTCTAAGCCAAGATCGCGTTGCTGATGCTGGAAGTGTTGCAGAAGAGTCCGAGCCATGTGCGCGACACCGATACTGTGTTCAAAGCGGGTGTGTACCGCACCAGGATACAAAAAAGAACTAGCCCCAAGTTGATGAAGGCTGCGCAATCGCTGAAAGAATGGAGTATCTATTACAGCCACCACTAGTGGAGGTAAAGTAATATGCTCATAGACTCGATCTAAAATCGTTAAGTCACGGCTTCTTAGCAAAGACATCCTACGTTACTCTATTTTTTATAAATAATCCCTTACCAACTTGGCCAATTTTTTGGCTCTCAAGAAAGATTTCCTTGTCAACACTTCAACTGCAAGTAGATATATATATATACTTATACATGTATATATATATATATATATATATACATATGTGTGTGTGTGTGTGTGTGTGTGTGTGTGTTGTGCTAGTTAACGCGTTCTATTAAATGGACAAAAATGCAAAGTGCCACGCTTGCAACTCATGGCTTCATACTAAGACCGAAAAAGGCAATTAAAATGTCAATAAGATCATTAGTCGCCTATTAGGACGACTAAATAAGCAATAAAAAAGTGATAATAGTGCTCTCTTCACACCAACCATTTCTTGTGGACGATCTTTATCAGGTCTCCGTCTTATTATACTCTTAAACGTTTCAGCGGAGTTAAAAAAAAGAGATTTGTGGATTATTCTCAACCCTCCAAAACGAAATTTGGTATGAAATCATTTATTTGGTATGATGTCTCACAAGCCGCACAACGTAAAACACCACTCTTCACATCTACCATATTCAAGGCATAGTGCAACGCATGCAATAACTCCGAATCATCACTAAAATCAGCGTCTTCTAAATTCATAGGAAGAGAGAAAGAGCCCCATTCATGTCCGTTGCGCACTACATCGTGTCCTGTTTGCAATGTATGATAAGCTTTCAACAAGTAAGACCAATCAATGCGCGCTAACATGCATCGCGTAAATTCAGCATCATACTCTAATGGTATGATCTTCACTTCTGAGGCACTTATTTCAAGGGGGAATGCTTCACATCGCAGGCAAGTAATGAAATTATGAGTTAGTAAGCGCATTAATGGAAAACGATTCAGTCCTGATCCCTTTTTCGCTATTACTATAAGAAAAAAACGAAAGTATGAAGCCTAAAGAAGCTTCGATAGGAAAGTGAGAGTAAGATCATGAATCAGAAGAACTAAAAAGGATGTGGCTGATCGTTTTTTGGTATGCTTCCAACTTTCCTTGTTGTGTCACCCATGCACAGATGATAGCTAGCTGATGACATTGATTGAAAAATAAACAAAAAAGGAACAACTTACAAATTTAGCTGGAAAATGTAGCATAAATTGAAACTAAAAATATTACTTTCAAAAAGACTCCATAGAGCTGACGATTTTGTGCACATATTACCGACGTTCACGAGGACGAAAGCCATACTTCTGAAAGGCATTAGCACTAGTCGCGATTCTCTCACCCTTTGCGCCTGTTTCATAAGCAGGATCTAAATGTTGTGTTGATACCACTTGTCTTCGTGTCTTAGTAAACACAGTGGACGTTGTATCAGGTAGGTTTCTCAAAATATCCAAGGCGTTGCACCCCTGCTGTGGAGTCGGAGCGCATCGGCTTCCAATTCGATCAAATCGGTCTTCATCATTAAATTCTTGATACTGGAGTGAAGAAAATGGACGAAAACGCTGCACTGGCGGCAGCAACTGAGGTAACTGCTGTGAGTCCAATTCTGGCACATGAAAACCGCCTGGATCACTTATTTCGCCAACGTTGGCCTTGTTATCACGGCGCTGCATCTTCTGTACCTCAGTGGTTTCGTGACAGAAATTGACGAAGTCAGATGGGAAGGAAGCCTGGCAGGATTTACTATTTCGAATCAGCGATGATTCGTTTGTAACACCTTCAGCAGTTAGATGGTGCTTGCATATGCCACGAGCATGAGCAACCAGCTGCTCAATGTGCTGCTTCACAAGCTCCTTATTTAGTGGCCGCTTTGCGTTGGATGGAATACCCAAGGCAGCGCAAAGCATACCGTTTTCTGTCTTTAGTTGGGTAATGGTGCGCAAGAAATCACGTCGCTCTTTGACATGCGAATCAACACGCTCCACGGCTACACTCCGAATCTGCCGAACGCGCTGAGCAAAGTGCAAAGTACGCAGCGACTCATCAACGAAACGGCTCGACGGCGTAACACAAATAATAAAAAGCGTGCGACTGTTTCCCTCCAGACTATCCATCAGCAGTTTCGTCAACACACTTGAACGATACGACACAAAGGAGCCCTTATGCAAACCAGCTTTAGCGTTTTCGTTAGGAGACGTGTCATTTGTGCTATTTATTGAACAGGAAGAACCCGTCCTCTTGCCTGAGAGGACTGAGGGATTCTTCTTCTTGGAACTAGTACCGTTATTCATAGGTTCTGCCAAAGATAAGGCTTGAATGACGTTACTCAATGCAAACAAAGAACGATTGATAGCTTTTGTATCATCACTGGCAGCATTGCCAGTATCCTTAAGGCGCTCAGAACCTGCTAAGTCGACCAAAGTCAACTTTCCGTAGCGGGTGTACGAACCGCAATGGGTAGTCTCGGTTCGTGAATGGGCAGTGGTTGTTTCAAAGTTTATGGTAAAGAGCGCATGGGAGCGGCTGCTGGTAGCGTTGAGCATGTGTCCAGCCTGTTGTCGACGGGACTGCCCCTCTCGCAATACTAAAAGAAAATCTTCTTTTGTACGGCATTCTACCTGAAGCAAGTCCTCAACATAAAATGCTCGGCGTTCCGCTGACCAACGACACCTGAGGTCACGCTGTCCTTGCAAAAGATCGTGAATACGCTCTTGATACAGCTCCATATAAGACGCCCGTGCAACTAACCGCAGACCGGAATCAGAATGCGTAGACTGTTGCATCTTCTTAAGGCAATCCGCGATATAGAGAACTGCTTGATAGGCAACTCCACTCTCCTCTATTAGAACAGCTCCTCTCCTCCCTCCGCCAACATCTTGCTGAAAATCATCCCTTTGAAGTTCAGAATTGACACCGTGGTCGCCATTTGGAGCTGCAAGAGGACCACTCATGGTGAAAGACTTGCCACTACCGGTTTGGCCATAGCACACAATAGCAGCAGCCTTACCTTCCAACATCGCATCGTCACAGTATGTGTATAATTGAAGTAGATCAAAGACGTCTGTCTGTGTGGCACCTGGGCCTAACACTGCGTCAAAAGCGAATACCTCGCTAGTAGGCTCAGAATCCCTCAGCTGGCCTATCGATGATGTCTGCGGATGCACCTTCTGCCTTTGATACGTTGCAGAAAGATGAACCTGTGCGGCATAGTGTGCACCCCCCTTTGAGCTATAATTTTTCTCTTTCTTCTTATCGATTTCCTTCTCACTGGATTGCGATTGCTGTAGAAGCAGGCTCTTTGCTTGATTTGTCTGTTTAAACGCGGCCGGCGGAGTGGCCAAGTGTCTTCGAGGACTTCGGTCGATGGGAAACGACTCAGCTAGCGAGCATGATGGGGAGGATTGTTTTACGGGTATGATCGTGATCACTTCCGTTTCACCGCGATCTGCTTCGTTAACTAATAACGGCCGAACTCGGAGAGCTACGCATATATGCCCAGTATGGACCCCAGAGCGGTTTTGGTTTTCCTTTGCTCTCATCAGTTTCTAAAAATTCCGCAATGCCGGCAATTGTACTCTATGCTAGGGAACGTTTAACCAATACACCACCGAAGGAAAAAATAAGCAAGTACATAAACCGTCGCCCACTGGGCGGATACCTACTAGTTGTGGGTTGATTAATTGTGGATATGGAAAAAAATAATATTCACTCAATAAGAACAGTATATTGTCAGTGTCATCACATTGAATGAGTATGCGGATTGAAGAAGTATGGCTTCTAAGCAAATTTTGCTCGGAGAAATATTTACATACAAGTAGATATATTGCAATCAATAAAAATTTTTAGAGTATTTTTTGCTTGTATTTTTTTATTGGAAGGTAAAGTACAGGAAATTTTACACAGCGACAGTTCAATACTACTGGAGAGGATTAATTGATGCCCAAAGCCACTTCAAGCGCCTTGACCCGTTGCAGAATGCGCCACTGTTGTTGTCGAACCTCAGAATCAATGCTTGTATAAATATCATCCACAGCCTTTTGAGTACCATACATCTCAAAAAACAGTGTCATCTCTTTTTCAATTTGTTCAGCGCGGGCACGGCGCTCTTCCTTTGCTATCTCCTCATGATATTTAATAGCAAGTCTATCGATTTCCTGCTTCTGCATGTCTTGGAATAGATCTAATGGGGATTTTGAAACTTTCTCGCGGGATCCCGCCTCAAGTCCTTTGCCTGGCAAAGGGGAGAGTGTCCCTGTAGCCTCCACAGTTGAAGAAACTGTATTACTGTTAAGCGTGGCAGCAAACGTATTGGCACGACCATTTTTTATGGGAATTGATGGTGCTGGTTCCACTGTTGCAGAATATGTGGAGAGCATCTCAGTAGAAAGGTTCAAGGGCGGAATGGGCATGGGCTCCTCTAAGAGTAGAAGAAAAGAATCTGTTGATCCTGTTTGAAACTCCTCTACCTTATTTTCTATAGTCTGTGGATACTTTGATAGATACTGATAGAGCGCCGAATGTTGTAACAAGCCTCGGTATAAATAGTTTACGAAATCAGGTATTTCGTCTGGTGTGAGATAAATGTTCTCGCTGGGCATGGATGCTGACATCGATGCTGCAATTTGCCGTCTTTCCTCATCCAGCTGCTCTTGTTGCTGCTGAAGCAATTGCTGCTGGCGAGTCGGCTTTTCCGACTTGCCCTTCCTTTTGACAATTGCTGCTGCAGCTGGAGGCTTCTCCAAGCCAAATCCTGCCTCTTCGTCCAAGCGCTGTGTTGAAACACTTGACATGGGGCCTGCCCCTACGGGGGAAACCCCAGAAAATGCGTCCACAGAGTGATGAACCCGTTCCCATTTGTAGCCCAGATCAATTTCCCTCGTTACAAAGTCTTTGAGGTGCTGTTGAATTTGCATCCAAAATGGAGTCGGTGGTAATCCCACCTCGACAGCTGTGGTAATTATTTCTTCTCCTTTGGAAGTATTTGCAAGCATGTCAGATCCGTTTGGTGATGATGACAACGTGTTATCATTTGTCGGCGATGCTTGTGAGGTCTGTTGATGAGTAGTTATACATTTCCTCCCCTCCCCGGTTTTGTCTTCCTCATGCAATTTCCCCTGCTCAATAAGCTGTTTGAAACTCAACAGACACTCCATTAAGTGCTTAGCCTTGAGCGGACGAAACCCATTGGCAGCACAGTAGCGTGAGAACTCTACCCATCGATCGACCTCAATCTGCTGACCAAGGTCTACCCAGTATGTGCGTGGCACGTCGTCCGACGGGTGAACACTATTGGTATTGTGAAGGGCATTCGCTGCGCAAGATGTGAGTGCCAAGGTTAATTCCTCTTCGCTTAGCAATGCTGTTTTATTCGCACAAACCTTGCTATCAATCGAGGTCTCAATTATTTGGAGGAGCTGTTGAATAATAAACTCAGTGCAAGTATAAGCTTTCCGGTTTGGGGGTAAGCCGACTGGCGGCATGGGTATTTCTTGTTGTGACGCAGAGTTCTTTTCTACATTTTTTTTCGCTGGCATTATCACGCTAACAGTATACAATTTGTTGACCTTCTTATCTTTCTGAAAAGCTATCTTATCCCTTCGCATTTGTATTTTAGAATAAAATCAGCACATAGAATATAGAAGCACGGCACATTTCGAGGGGTTATTTCAAATTATTGTAATTCATGAAACGAAAAAAATATTCCATTTTCTCAATTTGAAAAATGAGAAAACAAAACTTGAATAAAATGTTCATAGAAGTGAAAAGATCTAGTATTTGCCCTGAGGAAATACACTGGGGTAAAAAAATCTAATATTGATCTACAAAAGGATACACAGCAGTTCTAAGGGGGGGAGGGAATGGAAGCTGATTTTAGCTAAGCCAGAGAAAAGTACGCAGACCTCTCGTTTCCCAAAAAAACTCACGCATTGGAAAGATAAAGACAAGTGCGCATTATATAGTCTCAAAGTTGGGCAATAAAAAAATTATCATCATAGATAATCATGGATATCTATGATTCGACTCTTCTATGCTTTTTTCAACATAGAGCATATTTGTTTTGCTTCACTTAAAGTCTTAAATCCGAAAATCACCTGCGAGGGTCGCGTGGAGGTTCGGATAATCGCAGTAAACTGTTTTTCCTGAATATCTTCATCCTCTTGTGTAATGTGTGCCACAACGGAATCCTGAATGCCGTCGAGTGGAATACGGATCATCTGAAAACCACCCTTCGGGTTACGCTGCTTCCAACGCATGCAGCCCTGCACATAGTCTACGTCCACTACGCTTGTTATGGGTGTTTTAAAGGTACCTACTAGGCTCCATAGAGGCCGTGAGCAGTAGCGTGTGCACAAGGAATGTATTAATGCAACTCTGTGGGCGCTGTTCTTCTTGGATGAAACAGTAGCCATATATTCCCCATCTCTGTATGATAGAGCGTGCGTGCCACTTCTAGACGTAAGAATCCCACGCGGGGCGGCCCTAGCAAAAGAAATGCAACCTTTTGTGTCGAAGAGCTCCTCAGTTACGTGAATGGAGCTTAATCCACGAAACATAGCAGGTCCAACAGATATGCTGGTTGTTTCATTTAATTCCTGATCTTGAATTAGAGGAGGGTCATTAAAAGCATTACTCACATTTTGCATGTCTTGACAACCACGCTGATCTTTCGACTGGCTCTTACTAGCTGCAGAACGAAAATGTCGTTGTAAGGAAATTCCTTGATTCCCCCCCTTCCATTCAGATTCACCTTCTTCTACAGCCTCAAAGCCGATATTGTCACGGTCGTCAAGGTTTGATATAGCGGAGTAAGAGCGGTGACGCTTCCGTGAAGTCATGGATACTGAAGACGACGACATTTGCCCACGGCTCTGACTGGAGTCATATCCATCATAGTGAATAGGAATAGTCCTTGGAAGCTGCAACGCTCGCCCAGCTTTAGCGCGGCTGTTGTGGATATCGACGCTCTGTGGTTGTGACTGCCACCGATCATTCAACGAATTTTCATCCGTCACGAAAGGATGTGTGATGTCAGACGCATTGTCGAGGTGACAGCGTTGAAAAATTTTGGTGCAATTTTTTTGAATATCTCTGTTATCAGCCTGCACAACCCCTTTCCCGTGTTGCAACACTCGACAGCTTGTCTGAAGATGGTCTCTGGAACTGCGCCGGAGACTATTGAGGTGATGGGCCTTAACCTCTGGATAGCGATCACAAAGAGGTTCCGTCATCACCCTGAAGAGTGGCTTTGGTGGCTGAAAAGGCAGGGTAGAAACCACAGAGCTTGGGGGATGCTGCGCAATGCGAAATTCATTTGATTTTAAGAATAGACTAGGTACTTGGTGCCTAGAATCGCATTCAAGTTCATTCGAAGTATCGGTTGAGGCAGTAGAAGAGGGAACAATACTTATGGAACGAGAATGATTGACTGTGCCAGTGTTAGGCGAAACGATCTTTACCCGAGAACAGGAGCGAGGAGCCATGAGCCTTTATGAATTTCACCTGAATTACTTCTTTCAATTTTTATTGATATTTATTCCTTTAAGCAACATTTTTAGAATGGGAATAATAGAAAATTAGGAGACTTCTCAAAGAATTGTGTTAGATACTAGCTTTGTGGTCCACAATGTACAATCCACTCTTCCATCTGAAGGCAAGAAGAAAATAACCCCAGCGAAGGCAAGAATACAGATAAAATTGCATGAACGAATTCTTCAAAAACACCCTCTTAAGTACACTTTCGCATTCTTCTGTCGTCTGATTAATGCATCTGGGGCGCAAAAAAATTATCAAAGGTTGCCATATCCACCATATGAATCTGTGGAACTTTATAAGGGCTATAGAAAGCTTCCAATTGCTCTAACCACGTTTTAAAATCGACATCCTTGATACCCTCTTTATCAAATTCGACTAAAGACGAAAGTACCCCATTTGTTGTTGGCAGACATTTCCCCTTTTTGCATTTTTTTGACTTATGACCTTCGATGTTTTTCCCTTTAGTGGCTTCTGTAGTTCCTCGATTGTTGCTAGGCATTACAAAGCGTTGTAACGTCCACACGATCCAGCGGTACTCTGGACCGCCGCTAAGTATCTCCGGGCGGACTAATGGGACTTGGCAACCCTCCTTCAACTTAATAGCAATTCCTACGCGCTCTTTGCAGGCAAAAATAGCACCTATCGAACTCACCGGAAGAATGCATCGAAATACGCTGGAAGAATCATTAGCACGAATTTCGACATTTCTACCGGGCTCACAAAAGTCGTTTGGATTATCCATGCACCACTTCCAATGTGTCTCCGTGAATTCCATGGTAAAAGGCGACGGTGACGAGAAAAGAGGTGGCCGCCATCCCGATACCGCAACCTCGCTGAAGTCACTACGATCAAGTCTTTTCTTTTTGATCTTCTTGACAGGTGTATCATCGCTGAGACGGATGGAAGATTGCTTAGCCCACCTTGTTCCTGCCTGGGTGTCATACCTTTCTAGATCATTTGTACTGCAGGAATAGTTGAAATTTTTTAATTTGTTACTGTCATCTAACGTTGGCATATTGTCTATTCTTTCGGAAGTGGTAGCAGTTAAAATGCTTTCCTCTTGCACGTGGAAAGTGTGATGACCTAAACGAACGGCACGTAGATATGCAATAGCTGGCCGAGGGACATCTGGACAAATCATTGGAGCTGAGAAAAGGCTACGAGGAGTTGTTGTGACAGGAAGACCAGCGTTGCAACTGTTGGTCAAAGATTCGTCAGACGATATGTTTAAATCTTTGCAGGTATTGAACTCAGTTGTAAGTCGAGCAGCCACCGTTCTAGACCGCCGCAAGCTTCCTTCACTGGAGTCTTGGCAAGTATCTTCCACTATCGGTTCTGCGCCTGCCTTCGACAGACGTGACGGTGTGTTCGATGCAGGCGCTGCTTCGTTTTGGACAAGCACTTTGTCTTTCTCATCATGGCTACCAGGCTGCCTTTCCATGTGTTCATCAAATTCCAGAGCAGCTTCCACAGAACTCTTGCATGAGTAGGACCTGTTCTCTCTCATCTCGTTGTCATCTTCTTTAACAAAAACAAAGCGATCCGTTTGGCGGCTCTGTGGCTGAAGCTGAGTGTCGGGGGTAATAAATAGTCTTTGGGATACAGCAGTAGGCGGTGTAATCGCAACGCTAGTTGATGGGCATGCCAAGACCTGTCCAGGAGTCATAAGATCATTTTTAGTCGTGATTGCATGCTTCTCGTGGAACGTCCGTAAGACAGTTCCCAGAAACGCCTTTTCCTCCCACTCAAGGCGATCAGGGGTCGGAAACAGTGCTGGAGTAGGCTGGTAGTCATGCTCTATGGCAACGTCCTTCCCGTTGAGGATATTCACCCTCCAAATGCATAGCTCAGGACCATCAAAGGCATCCAGGGGTAACGCTTCGCCGACGCCGACATCCCGCATACCTCCAAATATGCACGAATCGCCGTCATTGAGGAGGACAGGCTCGATCCCCCCTATACGAATGTTGTTAACAAAAGTACCATTACTACTGCACATGTCCAAAATGTAGAGACACGGTAACGGCAACGTTGGCCCAAGTGTGGCAAATGAAACTGCGGATGAAATGCCCAATGTCTTCTCTTGGTCATCGTCCTTATATACTTCAATTGGTAGTGCAGGAGAGACGCAGAACAAACTACACTGGACTTGGGAAGCAAACACTAACCAAGGGTCTAAAACTGCGGCGCAGTGCAGACCGCGACCTATAATGACGGGTGTACTGTCCCTTGGCACAATTAAATGAAAACGGCGGTTTACTTTGTGAGGGCCTCGTACTAACACAAAATCAACTTCAAGATCCTTCATTAAACTTTCCATACTCTGATTAAAAAAGGGAATGAAATTCAGAGGGATATCTAATAAAATTTTTTGTAATAGTATGAAGCGGAAACAAGTAAAACCACGTGATTATGCATATATTTTCAACAAGTCTATGTAAAAAGGATATGTACAATTAACCCTCTTTGGAATGTATATATAAATAGATATAAATATCGATGCGTGTATGTGTGTGTGTGTGTAAGTACAAAGATCTACCTTTAAATGAGCATCTGAGGGAAAGAAAGGTGAGACAAAAGTAGAAATTTTTCCTCTTTAAAGGGGCATTACATAAATAAAAGTGACGCTAAGCCTGAGGTAGAGTAATAATAATACGAAACTTCCCAGAAACTATCAGAATTATAGTCCAAACAGAAGTAAAGGTATATTGCCATGTAACAACTGTCATATAACGTATTGTTCTCTTATTGCTTCTTCTTATTAACAAAAACTCATTTACATCATATGTTTTAAGCAAATCTAAAATAGTTTTTAAAAAGGAATAAACAAGAGAAACTAGCATCACACTATTCACTATGCAGAACCATGCAACTACTACAAAATCTACACTAGAATCTTGTTTTTATCACTGAAGTTTGATTTTTTCCTCTTTACATATTCATTGACGTAGCTCCATCAAATCGGCAAAGAATGCTACTTGTAAACCTATGTGAAAGGCCGTATTTCGAACGGACATTTTGCACGACTGTGACCGCGTCATTCTTACCGTACTCACTATTAGCTGTGGTATATAACGGGTGCGATGAACTCTGCCCCAGCAAGCGACTCATTCTGGACTCCGCGCGTGAGCTTCTAGTTTCGCGTGCGATGTCATCGCTACCTAAAACAACCTTTGGACGGTCTAAGGAGAACGATCGAATACAACACAGCTCAAAGTCTTCATCGTTTGGGGTTGTAAGAGAAATACCTAAGTAGTAACCCATGAGTTCCTCTACCATGATTTGCGGAGAACCATCACCTTTACTGTAATGCCCTGCTCCTTCAAAAATATCCATGAATGCCTTCTTCACGTCATCAGGATCGCGCATATTGTTCACAACACCTGGATGCCGCATTGTATCGTACTCTCGGTCTATAGTATCCAAGGAGATAAGTCCTGTACAATTTGGATCAATTTTCTTTAAAATTAAACTTATCACATATCGGCGTCGAGGGGAAAATAACTCGAAAATCTCTTCAATCAACCCAACCACATCCACGTTAACCTCACCGTATGACTTGCACAATACTGCATAGTTACTATCAGAAATGAATATGCCCATGTCGCGCAGCGCCTCTCGAAGCGTGGCTGCCTCTACAGGTGGAGGCACACTTCGAATCGTCTTTATGAGTCTCCAGAACTGTTTCCTGCCTAATCGCTCAAGTGCTTTATTCGAGATGTCTAAAACCCATGACTTCGGCATGATTTTTGAATTTGACAATAGGTGATCAGAAATTATAGCTGCAGATGCACACTATAAAATATAGAATCAAGGTAATGAACAAATGACGCTCAAAAATCGCTTCATCTTATTTGATTATTAAGGACATATAATTAAAACTTCAGTATGGAGATGAATGAATATCTCGTAAGTACGTGTCATGAGTCTGACTTAAATATATTAGAAAACGGAAATAAAATCTACAACAAGTGGCTCTCGGGTTTATTAGCATGTATTATTTCCACTTATTTCTCTGGCGCTCAAGATCGCGCATTGGGAACAGTGCAACTCCTACTAATAGCAGCATGGTACGCACTACATCTCCTACAAACAACCACGACGGACTCAGCAAGCAAACAGCCATTGCGCCAATAAAATGGGAGAATATCACGTAGATTACTACCTTTGTCGGAGATTCGGTGCATCTCTGAACGCGTCGACACACAATCAACGTCGATATTAGCTGCAGAAAAGCTTCGAAGGCAGTAACTTGAGGTTGAATCTGAAGTCCCAATCGGGACATTGTGTGGTACCATGGAAAGAAACGAAAAAAAAACGTGTAGCATGTGCACCAAACCGTGGCTACAGTCGGTGCAGCACTGTGGGCGTCTTGGAGCCCAAGCGTCTGCATGGCTCTAGCATTATTAAGCACAAAGTAGAAAAACATAGCCTCCATAAGTGGAAAAATGAATCCACGCAGAACAAACTGGTTAGTAAGCTCCCATGTCGACGGGAATAACGAGGAAAGTAGAATAGATTGTTGGATCTGCAGAAGAGTCATTATGAACGCCAGTAACCCCATTTTTCGCAGCTGGATCTTATGGCCGCTGCACATAAGCGCGATGGGTACAATCATTAAAGCATAAACATTAAAGTTTGATAATATACTCATCTGAGCTAATCGCCTAAGCGTTGGCGTGATTTTAAAAAAAAAAAAGGGTGTTGTGTGACGTGGCTTCAACGTTTGACAGTATTCCCTTAGGATTAAAGAAGTTTAGTGAAACGAAAAAAGATAAAATCAAAAGGAATTATAAAGAAAAGAATCGTGCAAGTAGACAATGAGGATTAAAGATAAAAAATGAGTAGCAGAGAACTTAATGTGATATTGGCTTAGAATCTCTATTTTCCTAAGAATAGAAAATATGAAAAACTATGTAGCCTTCTCAACTATGGAAAATAATGCTGCTGAAAGTTTCATCGAAAGCAAATGCAATCTTTTGGCTAATGGATCACCATGAAAACCGAAAGCCTCTCAATCCTATCAATTCAACACTCTACCCTGGGATGTGGTGTGGTGCGAAGAGATAAGAAAGAGCATGATGAAACGTAGAATACGTTAACATTTTGTTGGAATTTGGCATTTCCACGTAGTTCGAGTTAGCAAATAAGTTGACGTATAAAATTCTCAGCGAGGTCTCCGAAAGGAACAGGCTAAGAAACTTGAAAAATGCACCAAGAGCAAGAGAGAGAGAGAGCAAGAGTCCACTGTTGAGCGTGAGCTAGCCCTTACCTCCAAAGCGGAAAGCGTACAGCGAGGCCAATATTGTGTATTTTCTTGTTATTATTAGCTTGTCCCTTTAGGGTCAGGGGCAAGCAATGTCGTGGCCTATCACTTCGGAGCTCGGTATCGTAATACAAATACATTTTAACGACCTTCTGGTTGCACCTTCACTTCCTATAGCGATACCAGAGACACCATAAAAAGGGCACACCATCTATACCTCCCCCCTCCTCCCACAAACACAAAAAAATATGATCGTATTGACTCTGTGAATAAAAAGTAAATAGTCAAATCATAATCCTACCATTCGCAAGATGGGTCCACAAACCTTACGAAAGGTGCGCAGTATTCGTTTAACGTGCTCATTATGTTTTACAAAGAATGCAGCAACACAAAATTAGATGCGAGCTCTTGCACGCTCTGCTGCACAGATTTCAATGAATGCCTAGAAGCAGACGTCATGCATAAAAATGCATTCCCCTCAACGTATAGAACCAGAGCCACACGTAACGTATTTTCCTCCGCAGATAAATCGCCACACTGCGAACGTACCGAGTTCGATCGAAACCCACTGGCGTAAATATATTCCATCATTGTTGGCTGTGCTTCGTGACTTTTATTATTACTACAACTGGTATCTTCCTGGAAAGTGCCACTGCGAGCCTTTGAAGTTCCGTATTGACTAGCTTGAATGCTTTCTGTATGTTTAACCTGAGATTTCTTGTCTAAAGTAACTTCTGAATTGCCATGGGAAAGTAATCGCAAACCAAAGTACGCCGGTGGCGGAGGTACTGGTGGTGGGTAATACTGGCTAAAGGGGTTGAACGAGCCCACGTCCTCCTCCAAGGAGAGTGCACGGCTTACCATCCACTCTGAGGCAGCCTCTGAACAAGTGTCGATATCATCTTTTGATAGGGTTGCTGAATTGGCCAATCCTTCGAGCGCATGCTTTCTGGTGTTTGATCCGACACCCCCCTCCCTATTAGAGGGTCCAGAAGTGGACATAAGCTCATTTATGATATCCTCGTTATCGTGTTTTGGCTCAAAACATACTAAAAGAGCTGGCATAGAGTTCAATGTCAGCGGCTCCCACTGCAGTATGCGCACACCATCACCGTCTTCTTTCATGTACATCTGAGAAAGGTGCCAATGCACAGCGTATTCAAGCAGTCGATGTTGTGCCCTGGGTTTGGCCGTCTTGCAAAAATAGGGGGGTGGAAGGGGAATTAGATGTTTATTAAGATCATTACCAATGGTTTCGAAGGGTTTGGGACTTGGCATTTGCGATACTTGAGCAACAGAAGACGCATGCACATGTCCAGAGGCAGCTGGCTCTTGCAAAGGAAACATGCGCAGAATCACTGGACTGATAAGTGCAGCATCTCCTACGTGAACTAATGCAAGTGGGTCGCCTAACTGAGGCTCCTCAACATCGGAGCCTGGACGTAGAATTAGTGAAAATGGTTGCAATACATGCCGCATATTACAATACGAGAGGGAGGTTGTTTGGCCGTTGTGGTTCCCTAGCGACATTGATTGCATCGTAGCAGCGCAGAAGCTGGCAAAATCCTCAAAACTGTGGTGGTTGACGGAAGCAAAAAAATAAAAGCTAACACACTCGTTTCCTATAGGGATGTAAAAGGCACCAAAATAAGCACGGAGCCTCGCAGCTGGGGCTATTTCAACATCTCCCAGCACGGCCTTCTCCCAATAAGTTTTATCGTTGATGAGACCTAGACAGGGACTATCGGGATTGAGCCTAACTTCTTGAAGGCAACAAGAACCCAGCAGCAAAAGCGTGTTGCGCGCCGCATCTTCTTCATCCTCCAGATTGGAAAAGTTTCCCTGTTTCAAAAGCAATAGACGATAGGGCCTAATAATGATGCAGCCCGCTGAAATGCTTTCCTCTTGCCCATTTCTAACGTTGACCTCATCACGAAAGATTACACGCATTGGCTCCTCAATGTGAATACCAAACCGCATAAAGGTAATTTTGAGCTGTCTTTCGAGACTGGTGTGCCACGACGCCGAAGATATTATATTAGCTTTGCCATCGAAAGCACTACTGCTCTCTATAGTCGTATTTTCAGCGGTTCTGAGGTTGCTAGAATAGAAAGCATAATGCTGTCGGGTGAATGATCCGTCAGCACTGTCACTACTGCTTCCAAAAGCAGTGATAGATGGCTCATAGGAAGCGATAATACCCATGCAACGCATACCACGACCAACGGCGGTGGCGAAGGGAGAAAAGAACGAAGTATCACCACTATCACCAAAGTGCCGCTGTTGATAGAGAAGATGTGCATCTTTTGGAAAATCCGACGTAACTCTGGTTTCATTGCCATACCGTGGTGCACTATCTAGAACCCTGCAAGTGGGCATATTTGCAGAACCGCAGTTGGCGTGCTGTCTATAATAGTAAAACGTTTCGTCAATATCTTCTGGGAGCCCTTCATACACACGGAAATCAAGAGGAAGACGGAAGCCCAACCCTAGCCTTGGCTCAGAGACCAACAAGTACGACGACGACGGTCGTGGTTGACTAAATCGAACGGCACGCACAAGCTCGTTAAAGGCAGTCGGAAGAATTCCACGGACCCTAGTGTCGGCGCTGTACTGCAGAGTCAGAGCTAGACGTTCGTGCGTCAGGAATACAGAAAGCACATACACTAACTGGTTCTCTTCGTTTAAATAGCAGTATTCCGCCTGTGGATACTGGTTGTTGCCGATACGGGTTATGGAAGTGGACAAAATTTTCGAGCAATCAGCAATTTTCAGAAGGCTCATTTTGCGATAATTTTCTGCCGTCTCAGCATTGAACGTTTCCTCTATTGTGATGGTCACCCGATGACCTTCTTGACGCAAGTAGCATAACGTCAATAGCACCATGGGTGCCTGCCGCCCCTCATGCTTGACAGTGAATAGAATGGGTGAAAAAGGAATGCTGATGCCCAAGGCATCATCCTGCCACTCTACTAAATTGGTATTATTGCGCTTTACATGTCGCTCCGCCTGAAGCGTAAAGTAGCACTTGGAAAGAATATTCGATGCGGATGAAGTAGCTCGTTGTGCTCTCACGGCTGCGGAGGCACCCTGATTGTCTCCAGTTCCAGCCCGACCTGACGTGTCGGCAGGTGCGCTACTATTAATACTAGCTTTGTTTCCTTGGGTAATAAAGCTGGGTGCTCGACGCCAATTTGCGATGTAAACTGCTGCTGTAAGCCCCAAGACACCTATTGCTAAAGTAAATGTAACTATAAAGTTCTTTTGGGGTATAACCGGCGAGTTTATTGCACTTAGCTCCCACTCGGTAATTCTAACCATAAAGAAATAACTGCAAATGAAAGTGTCACAGGAAAAATATAATTATGTTGAGTGTTTGCGTATTTTTTATTATTGCTTTCCCTTTTCTTTGCATCCAAAAAAAGTAAAAATCATTGCATAGAAAGAGAAATGAAAAGATGTGTATATAAACATTCTATCGGATTCCATTTGTTGATAAAGAGGGAAAATTTTGAACAGTCAAAATAGAAACAATACACTAAAATGTCTAGGTCCTACAATTACGGCTCAAAAAAAGAGACGGCTAGGTATAACGTTCGTTATCTAGAGATCAGCCAATGTAAGCAATAAGGTATTCTACAAATAAAAAAGCAGTCATTTTTATCTAAGAGTGAAAATTGCATCATGGTCTAGGAAAATACTAGTCTTCCTCTATCACAATGTCATCCACTTCATTTATTTCGAACAAAGGATCGTACCTCTTCAGTTGCTCTCGCATCCACTTGAGTTGTACATTACGCTGCGCTAATAGGTTTTTGACCTGCTGGTATTGAGTTGACTGGCTTAGCCGCTGCGTAAGCTCTTTTTTAGCCTCTGAAACCTCAAGCCGCAGCTGTTGAACGGTCTTCTGCAAGTCGTCGTCACGATCATGGCAACGCTGAGCCGGCTCCACAGCCACGCGATCTTTGCCGCTCGTAGTATCCTGTATTGAAAGAACCTTTGCCGCCTCATCCGAACGACTGTTTAACATCTGTGTGTATGCGTCTGTCACCTGTTGCAGCTTTCTTCGAAGTTGACGTATCTGATTGTTAGAGTCCTCAAGTTGTTGTGCCACCTTTCCACCTGCCTCTTGAACCGTCAAGGGTGCTAATCGCCTTGCTGGACCGTTTAGCAACTCCCTTCCATGCGGTATCATGTCAATCACGCCTCCTTTGTTTAGAATAGTAATTGTATCGATCTGGAGCACTAGTCTCTCTTGGTCCACTTCACGCAATAAGGCATACACGAGCTCTGTCGATGCCGCCATAATGCCCTTTATTTGAGTGTCAATAAGGTCTTGAAAGATGTAGAGCTGACTCTGGAAAAGAGAAGCAACTTCATCTTTCGTGTATGTCTTGTCGAAAACGAGGTTCGCAGAAACAAAAGCACTGCACTCAACGACGAGATCGTCTTTGAACTTGTCAATAGCAATCTTCAACCAATGGGTAAACTGTTCAATGATTTGCTTGGATTTAGCAGTAAGGTCATAAAAATGATTCTCAGACATTATAAAAACACTAAGAATACTCAATCGATAACTAAATAATTTATCACGAAAATATACCTTTCCACTGAAAGTGTGCTAAACTTGATGCCTTTTGGTATAGTTATTTTTTGAATTTTGAATTTTCTTCAGGTAATGAAAGCGCAGCACTGCAAGAAATTAAAATAATTGAAAGGTTGCATTTATTGAAAGAGTTTGAACCAATCTCACAACAACAACAAAAAGAATATAACCGTAAATATCATTTTTATTCAATCACAGAATTCAATTAGAAGAAAATTCAGGTGGGAAAAACCGTTCCCTTAATATTATTCTTACTGGTAATGCATTGATGAATATAAGACATGAAAACTTCAACACAAAGGAAAAGAAGCAGTTGAGAACCCTCAATGAAATTTTCGCTTTTTACACAAGCACTTAGCCATTTTGCATTTACCAATAAATAGATGATTCATTGTTAGGATTAGTGAAAATATTAGCATTAGAATTATTATTGTTGTCGAGGTTCAATTTAAATGCCTATTAATAAGATACTTTTTATATCATTCCTTACCCTCCTGTATTTTCACATCTCCTTTTATCTTGGGAATAGCTTAAACTAAAGGCAAAGCACTGTTTTCTTTTCAGAAACATATTCTTTTTGTCTTACAATAGTTAAGTAGACACGAGAAATACACGTAAGTAGCAGATGTAAAAAAGAAAGTTGCACATTTCAAGGAACATGTAAAAAGCAATTAGCAAACGGTTTGTATAAGAAAGTGATACAAATCATGTCCATACATATAAACAGTAAAACTATCCATAGTTTGAGTTCATCGGGAAACCACAAGCGTGTTCGCAATAAAATTGAAAGCGTTTAAGATTTTCCTGTTTTTTGAGGGAGAGAAGGGGGGGGGGGAGGGGGGAGAGGGGGGGGAGGGTTGCCACACATCCTACGCATTTTTAATTTCAGCTTCCAAGAAGGTGCTTAACCATTTCTTAAACACAGATCCAGATTCCTTACACGTGATACGTATTTTTCCTGACACAAACTCTTCCGGTATTGCCTTCCATTCAGTAATCTTGCTGCTTAATGTTGCATCCATATTTGTCTTCTGGGCATGTCCTGTGTTTCTATTCCCAAATGAACTCGTTTCATCAGACTTTTGTTCTTGTTTTTGCGACCCATTTTCCCGTAATGCTTCTTGTGAGACGAATTTATGGGAAATGGGAGTAAATGGCTTCACGAAATCTCCTGTTCCAGCAGCGGCAGCTTTGATATTGGAGGATGGAGAGGACAACGTAGGCAAGCAGCTGACTAACTCTCGAAGCTTTATGCCGCCAGTTGGACTAGAAGAAGTAAAGCTAACCGTATTGCTGGGGAAGCCTGTAGGCCCCTGTGAGTTTACATTAATCGTCTCGGGTGACAAATTAGAAGCACAGATGGTCTCAATTTTTGTGCTAGTTGCCACGGAAGCAGTCGCGATTGCACTGCGAGGTTTGGGCACGAAAAGCGAATCCGTGCCAGTTTCCGCTTTAATTTCATTCGTATTGGCCTCAGAAAGACCCGAGTGCGGAGTCTGAAGAACGTCCTTTACGACGGGTAAAGTAACACTCGAACGCGGGCCATCCTCAGCAACATTCTTTAGGACAAGAAGTGCTGAGAGTTTTGTGATAGCACCACGGTAATCCTTTAGGCGTCCATGAAAGCGGACGCCGGAGGTGAAAGGAATATCGTAAACCACCTCAGCATCACGTCCACTAGCGAGTAAACGCACAACTGTGCCTCGCGCACCGAACGGAACCATGCCTGTAACACGGCAATTTACCACACGCGCCCCTAACCGGAAGGTTTGTTCCCGGGGTAATGGAATAGGGATCAAGTGCCCACCAATACTTCGTGTTATAGGAAAATAAAGATAATTCTTCGGCACATGTCGTAGTGTGAGCATCTTCGTTTTCTGGGTCTCATGATGCTCTAGGGATGTCTCAAGTTCTTCCAACAGGGCTGGGGGAAACGCGTCATCTGTGGCAGTGACCATTGGGACTTTTTTGATGCCGGTATCGTCCAAAAAAGAAGTGATTTCGTCTAAAATATCATCGGCATCGCATTCTTCCCATTTTCCCGTCAAGAACTGCGGGGGATCAATATGATGGCTACTTATGCCCTTCTCTAGAAGGTCAACTAATGGGCTAAAGTAATTAATGTAATCCTTCAGTAACTTCATGGCGCCTTGGGAAAGATACCACGTACCATAGCCATTACCCGCGTGTTTGCCCACGTACTCTCCCTTTTCAACCTTTTCAAGGTGATGACCCACATTTTCGTCCTGCTCTATGCGCGAAAAAATGTCAATATTCGACACATACCACGGTTTCACATTGCGCTGGAGCAACCTGGCGTACCCCACACGTGCCAAACCGCGACCCGAAAACTTGATGCATAAGCCAAGTTCGCGAGAGCCAAACTGTGGTACGGTCACAATAGAGCTGCATATAGTGGTGAGAGTACGTGAACTGATGCCAAGCTTGTCTGCCGCAACTTGTAGGGCAACCCAATTTTTGGGTGACGCAAACTCAGAAAGACTTGAAGGAAGCGTGAAGGGATTCCGAGGCACCTTTAATGATATCGTGAAAGCGTTGGAGTTGGACTCAGTGGAAAGAATCTGGCCACAGCTGCCAAAGACCGACGCTGTGTCTTTGCTTTTTGGCTCAGGCCCAATATAAACACAGCTGTCCCCTTGCGTGCTGTCTACGTCAGTGCGCTCACGCTCCATATAACGAGTATCCTCAACCATCTTAATGTCGCTAAGAAGACATATGAGCGGTAGAGGGTAGCATGTCTCGCTCGAGGAAAATTGTCGCGTAAGATATCCCTTATTCGACACGCGCATGCCAAAGAAACGATTTACATACACCAATACTGGAACTTCATCTACGCTGATCCCCAACTTTAACTTCATGTATCTACGATGTGCCTCTGCTTCTTTGAGGAACAATAATGACTCGTCGCGATTCTTTTCTCGTTTCTCTACCCCACTAAAGCTGCCGTCTCGATTGTATAACGCAGTTAGAGTGACACGTGCATCGCTCAACGAAGCTATACGTGCTCGCTTATAATGAGGGAAGCCCACCAGGACCTCCTTTCCAATAAGTGTAGCTTCCTCCTCAGCTGTCTTGGAGCTAGTGAAGTTTTTTAAATTTAGTATCAGACTCTGCTCTTTGGAAATTCTTTTAAAAATATCGACTACACCAGATTCGTAAGTGGGCGTGATAAGCTTAATCTTGGACTGTAAAGACGAGAAGCCCTCCAACTCCTTGTCACCGATACACACGCCCTTGCATAAATTTGGTTCGAAACGGCGGTAAGGAGGAAACTCATACGCCTCCTTTTTCACAAAAATACTCCGCAATGGGCTAAACAAGTTGCTTTTCAAGTCATAGGGGGTGATCGTGGGGTCGAAAGAGAAACAGATAGAAGGGCCAAGCTTGTTGTTATTGGCGTCTTCTCGATCCACCTGACTCTGAACAGACTCATAAGCTGATAAGAGAATTTTTTCATCAATAAAGGGAATTAAAACAATACCTTCCCACTCAGCGCGCGTGCCTTCACGATCAATAGTGATGTGCTCGGGGTAAAAGCTTGCCAGTGGACTGGAGCTGCTCTTCAATAGAGGCCAGTATGCTTTGGGAATAGACCGGTAGGACATAGGTGGCAACACGGCAAGCAGCTGCTGGTGCGGCAGGAAAGGCTTGCCGAACTCAAAAGATACCTTGGCTCCAATCGCTGCCAAATTGACAAGATCACTAGCCATTGGTGCATAGTAGTGTGGATAAAACCATTTCCATGAGGGCACGCCCTGGTAGTAATAGGAAAAAACCCAGGACAAACCCTCTACGTAATGCTGCTTGAGACTTTCCATTCCCTTTTCGTCGAAAATTTTATGTTTATTTTGATAAAATGACTCCTTATACTCCTCAATGGATGTAAATGCAGTGTTAGCACAGGTAGGGACTTCGTACGAAGGGTCCCTTCGACTACGGTTAGAATGGTACTCGGCCTCCCCAGCTTGCCGTTCCTTGATGGCCTTAAACTCCAGCTCTCCGAGCTTAGAGAGAAAAATCTCCACGGCATGCCAATTAATGGAGCCATTATGAATTAGAAAAAGATTCTTCGAGAGAACGTGCTCAGTGTACAGGTCCAACATCTTCAACACACCTTGGTCATGAATGCCCACTGTAGGGATCGAAGGCAAGAAATCATTGCCAACGAAAAAAAGCATGAAAACAAAATCATCAATTACCCTCTCCAAATCAAACGTACATTTGGCGAAAGGACTCAGTTTTACACTGATATCCATCTGCAAATAGTCACGTAGAACGTTGATGTGGAGCAAGACAAATTCATCCTCTCTGTTGTAGGACTTATCCAAGCAAATGCCTTTAGCGGCATCTTCCTCCTCTCTTTCTCTTTCTTTGCGAGATTTTCCGCCAAATTCTACTACCTCGCGCAGCAACACGAAATGTGGCTCGTGAGTCGACAAAGCAAGCATAATTAGATCGGCATCTAAACCATACATGTAATGGGTCTCGTTGGAGTTATACCCCGGCTGCATTTTTCTCCCTCGGATAAAATCCATAATTTTGTGCTCTCCCTCTCCAGGATTATCATGACCACTAAAGATTACTTTGCAGCTCTGCCATGCAGGGTCGGTCGAAAGCTTTGTTGCTATGAAAAAGCAAAGTGCCTCACTAACGCGGACCATAAAAGGAGTACCAGGAGTAATACAGTTGCTATCAAATATGTACTCCTCATTAGGGACGTCACGACCTTCCTCGATTGCCTCCGCACGTGCAACCATGCGCTCATAGGCAGAACGATAACGACGCTGCCGCTGTTGATTCATCTTTGCGCGCGGCGCCACGCCATCCACAGCAATAAAAAAGCATTTGCGTGGCTGAACAGCTACAAATAACTTCTCCAAATAAACGAACATAAGTTGAATCATTTTCTTCTCACTGGGGGATTTGAGCATGGGGTCTACGTCATTCGAATGCGTGCAGTTGTGAATTATCCCGTTGAAATCTATATAAAAGTTATCGACCAGTGGTGGGTGTTCCTTAAATGAAGTGATGATAGAAGGGTATCGCTCCGCACACCATCGAAAGAACTTTGGAACTCCCATTTTTAGTTGAAAAATTTATATTTATTTATGGGAAAAGGTATAAACGTACTTGTAAATCTTTTAATGAGAAAAACAAGATCTAAATTTTCGAAGACAAAAAAATCCACAATGGCTTCTGTGAGGTCTTATCGCAAACACAAAAACGATAATTTATGGAATGCACCTCCAGATTGAATCGCTTGTGAAAATTGGCAACGAGCTACAGTATCAGATGCTAAGAGAAGGGGAAAATCTCTTAGAGTTATTTTTTTCAAAAAAAAAAGCGAAGGCGACGTAAATGCCAGATAGGAAAAATATATTTATGTGCACAGGAATCTCTGAATGATTTCCGATGTAAAGAAGGGACAGAACTTTCCTGAAATATATTTCCTAGACTATATTGTACGAACAAGCCTTGTGTCTAAAAAATAGAGAAACAAATTATTTTAGCCTAATAAACACACTTCTATCGGCCTAAATCTTTAGCGAATAACTACTCTGAATGAATACTTTGAAATATCCTTAGAAATATTATTTGTATGCTATATTTGAATTTTAGGGAAAACATAGGAAAACGGCAATATTATTAATTATAAAAGCAATCGGAATGCATGTCATTAGAATATCTCGTCTAAAATATTTGTCTTCAGTTAATTGCTAATTAAAAGTAATACATGAGGTGAAGCTTTGCAATCGAAAAAGGGTTAAGCTTTGGGGAAGGGGGATATTTTCCTTTGCTTATCTTTCCCTGCCTGTAGAATTGAAAATATACATTTGCGCGATAGCAAAAGTGGTACTACTTCGAGAAAAAAATTCAGTTCGCTGAAAAGTTGTGTACATCATTTTTATCCGCATTGGAATCCATGGCTGAACTACATGAATGGATAAAATGGAAAGAGAAGTGGGTGCCGGCCTCGTGTCATTCCCGTGCCCCCGCTTACATTTTCAGGCTTCCTCTACGCCATAGTGGATTGAAGGATCGCTGCGGTTGTGGTATTTTCGGTACCACTGGTCCGTCTTGATTCTTCCTGCATGAGTGTACAAGGAAAGCGAGATTCACGTGCATTTCGCTTGCCTACCACGAGTTGATTCGGCTTGACAGTCCCAATGGAAGTCAACTGTTTTTTTACAAAACGATTACGATGATTCACCAGTTCGCCTTGCTTCGCCAAGTCCATGGTATAGTCTCCCACTTGATATACCTCTGCGCAGTGGCAATGACGACTTTCAGGAGGACCTGCACGCAAGTAAGATCGTGGACGGTAATCATTGCTGTTGTGTGTAAAATTGCTCTTCAGTAGGCGCACGCCCTCAGGTGGATCTTCCGGGCGAAGCAAAAAAGAGTTATAGCTAACGGGTGTGAAGTCGAATCCTGCCTGGGAATAGATTGGTGGCGGGCATTCGCAATACAACACCTCCGGTGCAAAGGTGCGACGTGATGGCTTTCTCCTTAAGTGGCCACGATCATCCGCAATAGGTTTGAGCTGAGGTTGACGTTTTAATTGATTGGCCGTAGTACGGCTCAGGGTCTCAGCTCGATATACACCATTGGGATCATAGATCTTGATGTTGCGGAGCGAGTGCAGTTCGTTTGGCTTGCTGCGCTCAAATACTTCCTCACTACCATCTGAAAAGTGAAGACGCGCTTTGAGTACACCCCATCGCTTACCATTGTTGATATCTTGGATGCTATATACGGCATCCTTGTATGTAGCGCCCCTGGGAAGGCTGTATGTCCTCCAGAAGGACAAAGGATGAGATTCCAATCCATTTAGTCGAAGATGATCAGGGTCATATCCCTTCTTGCGAATCTCAGACTTGGGAGGGATGAAAAGGATGGCGTAACTAGTGGGAACGGCACCACCCTCGGGTTCCATGTATCTTGCATCCATGCCTTAGATTAGAATACAGATTTAAGCGAATAAAAAGAAATAATATAAGATTTTAAATGTAATCGTTAGTGTATTCAGAGTCTATGACACAAAATAGCTGATGAAAGAATTTCATAATATGGCGCGGAAAGTAAATGAATTAGGAGCGAAATGCAGTCTTAAAGGGAAGTTGGGCTTGGTGACAGGGGAAAGCACCCATTGCGATAAAGACCAGTTTAAAAATAATTGAAAGGTAATCCTCAATGCTAGTATCAAAAAATGCCATCAATATCGAAAATGTCGAAGTCATTATGAGTAGAATCAACAGGAAAAACTCCACAAGTTGAGTTTTGGTATTCAGACCTATGTTCATCACCATCAACCGTCGCTGAGGCATCGGTTTTAATGCAAGGTGCGTGTGATGTAGAAAGGAACGGTAAGAGTGATTTGTGGTTCATTCCTGTATCAGTCGATGTAGCAGTGCGGCGTGTGTTCCAGGCCCCGTTTCGAGACCCCTCTGCTTGGACACGTTTTTTTACTACAGTGCCTCTTTTCTTGTTAATAGAGTTGTGCGCGGCGGTATCAAACGCGTTGAAGGTTCCCACCATCGCCGCCACACCACCAACTACCAGCACTTCAGAATTTAACCATGATGAAGTATGTTGGAAAGGATCGCGTCCACCCACTAAGCTACGTGCTATTGCCCGTCGATCAGGAATGATGTCACTTGTGGCAAGATCCAGTAATCGAGACGACGACGCATCCGTCTCTGGTGCACCAAGGAAAGACATATCAAGCTCTACTGAGGGGCAACTTGGAGCTTCGACGTATTGTTTAGAAAATTGACCCCCTACGAAACGGACCAAAGAGGCACCAGTATCCGAAGCATCTTCTCTGCGATGCGCTTGGAAGCATGGGTATAACGGCAGCTCCAATTTATTACATGCAAACTCGCCAGCGTGATCATGGCTGACACCAACATCGCCTATCTCATCCCTGGTTCGCCTAAGTGAAGCTACGCGCCCTGCCATTATTGTATCGCCAAAGTGCTGAACGCAATTGTTCAGTGTCTCTGAAGAATCAGTTGTTGTACTGCAAACATTCCGACGGGTAATCCAACCATGGGTATCAACGAATCTTTCAGTTCCCCGTGCCATTGCAGAGGATATTTGTTCATAGCCGGAATTAGCTTTCCCTTCCAGAGAATTTAGACTAGGAAAAACTGGAATAGCATCAGTTTTTCGTCCATTAGAGCTGTTCCGACTACTTGGAAGATCAGCACCTGTGTCCCACTTACCCTTTTCTGTCTTCGACTCATGCCTAGATAAACCAGATGAAGTATCCCGGTAAATGGTCAACGAAAGAGGCTCTGCCAGCACTACGCAGCGTACCAGTTTATCATAATCAATGCACTGCACTAGATTTTGATCATTTAACGCCATTATAAACTCCTCAAGTTCATCTTTGTCTACCATTTTAAGAACTACAACGTGTCCTTTGTGGCGTTCGGCAAAGGACACCAAGTGTGCATGAGCAATAGGGAAGCTGGTCATTGTTTTCAATGAATCATCTAGCATCACACAACCCTTTGCGCACTCAACAAAAAATGCTATCTCGTCGAGCAATGTCTGCCGCAACACCACAAAGCTAAACCCAGCAAACAGATCTCGCCGCTGAATATTAGGCTTCAGGAAATCGGAGGAAATCGATATCAACGAATTACTATTGCTGCTGAACGCGGGTGAATCCGTTGGGGAAGTAAAACGCCTCCAGGAGGAACTGACAGGCGGCAAGTAACAGCATGGATCAGGAAGAGGCACCTGTGGCGTCGCACGGTTGAGTATAGCGCTAAAAAAGGATGGCAACACGACAGGCGTCATGCGGCACAATATCGCCAATGTTTGTGGGGTTGGCTCAAAAAAACTTGATACAAAGAAATTGGTCTTCACTAGAGCATTAGTGCAGTAGCCGTATGATCTTGGCGAGGCCAGAAGCTGCACTCCACAATGATTTAGTTCACGCTCCAACATGGTGCGCTCATTCTCGTCGATATTTTCTACCAGGGCATAGAGATCGACCCAGGCAAATACTAGTGTAGCACCGTGGTTTCCAAGAACTAAAGCAAATTGACGCCAACTGAGGCGATCTAATGGAACACGAAAAGGGGTTCCTTTTATTAGGCGGTGCTTCTCCTGTACCACGTGTGTCGTGTCGTCAGGTGTTACCAACATCGGCTTAGAATGAGCAACTGACGATGATGCCCTATCGGGTATGTTAGCGGCAACACGATTCCGCTTCAGAAAGTCAATCACGCTAAGCTCCTCAGATTGAAACGGCGAAGCAGTGGCTAGAGACGCCTTTAACCCACTGGGATCCGTTTCGCTGACTAGAGCAATTGCTGTTGAGCCGTAGGTAGAGGAATCTATGAGAGTAATCGAGGCTGGGGTAACACACGCTGCGTCCTGTGCATCGAAGCTCATCAAAGTACGGTCACAATTAGGCCCATTAGGATTTTCTGAATCAACAGCATCGCTTTGTAAAGAAGAGTTGCACCGTATGATGTGCTGTAGCGGCAAGGGATCAATCTCGAATGAAAGATGGGTCCGGCTAATGCTAGGGTCATCTTTGATCATAACATCACACCCCTTTTTCCCTATTCGATAGACTTTACCACCGCTGAGCCAAAAATGAGGAGCCCCATTGAAATATATGATCCACATACTAATTAGCAGAGAACGTCACATTTAGCTAATATCTCTAAACTTTTTTGTTGTAAAGCAAAAGGGAAAAATTCAATAAATATTCTTCGAATGTTATTCACATTCATGTTACTTTTGTTTTTCATTCAAAAAAAAACCGTTGTTCATATTTTTTTTGTCATAAACTTTTCAGTATACTGGGATTAGAGACCAACGAATAACAGAGATAAAATAGGTGCAAAGAAATGATTGATAAATTTGAGAACGAGACCACTCACCGCGGGAAGATTACAGGTAATTAATAACGAATTACAAAAAAGAATCAGGAAACCTGAATTTCAAGCCTTCAGATTGTTCATGGCGCAGCAACGGGACTATAAACTCATTTGTGAGCCAACCTATGAAATCAAGAAGCGCAGACTCTTGACTCGATTTATTTTTAAGATCTAAAATATTCAACCAAAATCGAATACGCGTTTACTTTCACTTAAGTTTCTGAATCATCATCCGAGTATTTGTTGGCCCCCATCGTGGCTAACCGGTCCGCCATCTCGTTACCATACACATTTGAATGCCCACGAACATGGCGTATCTCGAAACCTTCACCAGAGTTAAAAGTATTGCTAGAGATATAGCGATGAGGACGTGCATCGTGCTGATACGAAAAACAAGTGTTGTACCCGTCCCTCAGCAGAGTGAGTTCCTTCCACAAATCTTGGTTTTGTACGGGAGTCTTGCCGTTGCTTAGCGTAAAGTTGTTCTTCACCCATTTTTTGCTGTAATTTGTTAAACCTTCCACAACGTACTTGCTGTCAGTGTACACACGGAGACGATATAGGGGAACTGGCGTAGAGTAATCCACCTCGTTAGCCATGAGGGACGCGACAGAGCCACCCGCATCGTGCACACCCTGGTGCAAAGTATGAATCACAGCTCGAAGCTCCGCTCGATTATTGGTGTGTTTTTCATTCGAAGAAAGTGGTAATGCAAAGTTACGACAATCCCCTTCGCCATAGTAACCACCATAGCCCGCTCGTGAAAACCCTCGCAAGCCATTTCCATGGCAAGCTCCGTCCACATAAACTTCTTGTGTTGCTACCAAGTGACCATCAAGTAACATACTTGGCAACTCGTCACCCTGTACTGCGATTTGAAGCCTAGTTCTGGATTCAGAATCGTAGAGACGCGGATACTTAGCGCTTGGTTGAGAATCAGAGCAATTATCAACGACATTGGAATCGTGAGGAAGAGGAAAAGAATGTTTGCACGAGCAGGAGCGCTTGTCATGCGATTTGGCATCGCACATATCGTTCTCATTGCACGAGCTTTCACTGATGTTATGGTGCTCACTTCCTCGAGAGTTATTACAGCATGTACTTCCGCTGGACTCCTCAAAGAAGATTTTAGCCTCTTCTAACGTTTTAAACCCTTTAAAACGAGCACCGCTATATCCATGAACCTGTTTATAGCACTCAGCCCAAGTTGCGTAAATACCGCGCTGATACCCCTTCGCCACAGCGTAATACTTTTTCATTGTATTTCTTTTCTAGAACTGTCGCTTAACATAAATGTATTGTTCTGTTTGTAAAACATGTTTCGTGGTTGTGAAATTTTTAATAACCTTTTGAATCCACCTGTTCATGTCACTGATTCAATTGCAGGATATCGGAAAGTGTCAAATCACGATTTGGGGACAAGCACCACCCAGTCTCAAATGTAAAGATAATATGCGAATGAGTGTTTAGGAACGACGTACTCGTGGCACAGAGGCTATCGGCACTAAATGAACTCAAGTTACAAAGACAATACAAAATCAGTAAACACAGTTAAATGGTTTGATGAGAATAGGAGAAGAAGTGCCTATTTTGGAAGTGCCGTAGCGCTTGCATTTCCTTTTTGAGTTTTAGCATTATTATTTTTTTTTATATTGCTTCATGGCATGTAAGGAAGAGGGGGAAATCGAAGCGAACATGGGAGAAACGAAAGTAAAACGCTGATGGGAATAAGTGCAGTCTAAAGAAGAATAACAAAAAAGGCATTAGCATCCTCAATTCATTCAATGTTCTCGTTATTTACAGTAAGCGAATATCAATAGCAATCTGAAGTTGGCAACACATGCCTATGAAGAAGTATTGGAACAATATCAAAGTATCTTTTACTGAGGAAAAAACACTTCAATATTTTTTGTTGTCAAGATTTTTGCAACGATTTAGATGAACCAAAGTATATTTAAAAGCAATCAGTATCTGTGCGGGATTCAAGGAGTACTGTCTTGCCTACAACTGTGAGCACACAAACCTCGCCTGCACGAAGCATATCGGAGTTTAGAACACTTACTCAAAATTGATTCGAATCATTTATGTCTCAAAAAACTAGCTTCACTACGATTATCTATGAGTATTGATCACTTACAAAAAGGTTTAGCCTTCAAACAATAAGTGTAAAGGTGTGCAATAAGATAATAAAACATATTTACTATTCAAAAAAAAGTAACGAATATAATAGTCTACAAATTCCATCGTCCCTTCTATGCTGTATTTATTATGATACTAACATCTAGACAAAAGGAAATTTAATTATATATTTTGAATTCCTGAATGATAACATTTATAACAGGAAAAAAATATGAAAAAAGTGTTTTGCCACATCAGGAAACGCCCCCCCCCCTTCTGGTCTTCTTCAATAGAAACTAATAATAATGGAAAAAGATTCAGGAGCGGGTGGCCGTTCCATAGGACATATTTTTTTTAAGCCTTTATTAGAATCCAATTTTTCACAATTAACCCAACGTCTTAGAACCTCTAAAGGATTAGAAAAAGAGACTTACAATAAGGCATACTTTTCTATTATTAAAAAGTTCTAATTATTTATATAATCTATTTTATTTTCAGTCTACAGAATAGCCAGATAGTTGCTCCATTGGGGGCAGCCGTCGACGTAACTATTCAAAACTGCACCACTGGCGTGGTACTTCAGTTCCACCCATATTGCTCACAAAGAAGCTCCAAAGACGAACATAATAGTATGCATAAAATGGTCGCGATAATCAAGAACGAAATAGAGGTGTATTACCATTTGGCCTGATGGTGAGCAAGCATAAAGACCTATAACGTGTGACACCCCGTGAGGCTCGTGATAATCCAACGCGATAGTCACTCTTAGACAACGCTTTGCGGCTATTAGTGGAAGTGACATAGGCATTGTGAACACTTCGGTAGGACGGGCCGATATCCATTGAAGGGCAGGAGGTTGGCAGAAAACAGCAACTTCCCACGAGTAGTCAGTCGAAATTAGAACAATTCTGTACTATGTACAAAGGAAGACGAGTCTAGGAATGAACTTCAGTGGAGTACCGTATTTTTAAGTGATACCACTCCGTAGGATATGTGTGAACCAAGTCGATGCAGGTACCATTATTGGTTTGCATTTTAACCTGACACCCCTCCTCCACTCCTTAGTGTGGAAAGAGTATGTTTACAAAAGAATCTGATAATGGAAAGGCAGTAGGTCGCTTAAACCTGTTATTATGTAATACTTTTTTTTCTGATTGACTTTCTCAGTGATTGTCAACAGTTAGTAAAACCTGGAGTAGAAGCAGTTGGAAAGTAATCCGTCGAGAAGAATAAGTAGGTCGGCTAGTCAGAATCAAGACCAAGACTACAGGTACGATTTAAAGAAAATTTCTGAGTCACCCCTCATGTCCTTTATTTATTCGACCACATCTGGATTACTTCCATACGAATGACAGGCTGTGAAATAGACCTCAAGGCGTTGACCGAGATTAATCTCACAGAGTACCGAACAGTTTTCGGTGACGAGAATATGTATAAACCCTTCCCCATGGTCTTCTGATTTTTCTAGAAAGAGATTAGCTCTTGTATACTTTGATTCATGCGCTTTCAAAAGGCATCCGAAATGTCATTAATAGTCGTACAAGCAAAACCTATGATAGAGAATAGTAAGGTTGTTAATCATGGCATTATTCCTGCTATTTTACAAACAAAATGCAGGTCATTAGATTGTATTTATGTAAAATAAATACGCTAATTATGCTGACCAATTAGGCACATCGTAGGGAAAAACTATCAACAACACGTCAATCTGATCTATTTCAATTGCTATTATCCTTGTCCAAAACTTTTAGTGCCCTATATCATTTGAAACATCAACAGGTATATGGCTAGCAGAGATGTCTATATGACGACCCTTGTGCCTGGAAACATCCTTGCTTCTATCCCCATGAAATACTTCAATAATGTCTATTCTAAGAGAAATGCATCACCACACGCAGCCCTTAAGACTATTGGCTTGATTTCATGATATATATATAACCACATCTCAAAAGCCCTTCGCGTGAACTCCGGTGCTTCATTAGTGGTTAAGGTTCGGAAGAAAATTTCAAATTCACTCTTTCACTCTTCCCCTCTCACATGACTCTATTCGTAAAACCCTTAAGTGTATCAACCCCATAGATTGCGTGCGTAATATTCACAACGCTAGGAATAGTTGCTAGCAGAAGCCAATGTTTCATAGAAAACTAATTATCCTGGTCAAAAAGATGAATTTGTTTCTGCGTAATTTTATCTCTTGCGTATGATTGACAAATATGACAGATAAGATGCGGCTCAATCACTAAAAAGATTAAAGATTTTTATTGGCCCTTGTGAGGTTGTAGATATTTTTTTTATGAATTTATGCATCAGTCTATGCTCTGAGTAACATGCAGTGCAACGATCACAAGATAATGGAAAGGGTAAAGTCTAGAAACTCCCATGTGTCCAAAGATGACAAAACTAGTCAGACACCTTTTAAGAAACTCCGTTCAAACACCTTCACAACAGTTTAACGAAACACGGAATTTTTTGAGAAGAGTTATCCTTGTTTTTCTTCTTCGGAGTACATGTTTCGGCCTGCTGCCCTGCCAAAGTTTCCAGTTTTTCCTCCTGCTCGACCGCTTTCTTGAGTTTCCCTCTCCTTTGCCCTCAACATTTCATCGACCCTTTTCTGATTCAACTCCGAATCCGTAGGAACCCAGAAGAACGGCTCCTTCTCGGCCTTAACTTTCCGAAAGTTAGGTTCCCAACTAAAGTTATGAAGCTTGACGTGATAATCAATTCGCTCACGCTCCCAGTTGTCCCATTTGAGAAATACTTTTTGCTGGTCGTCATGATCCATTATGCCTACAGAGGTTAAATTGTGCATCTGCGTCATAACGTCCATGTCGTTAAGCAGCTTACCAGGTCCTTCCAAATCAAGCTGTGAGCAAAGGAAAGCAATTTCCTCGCAAATATTCTCGACGCTTCCCCAGTGATAATGACCGCCGTTCAAGCGCAAGCGCAGGATTAGAGGTTGTGCTACTGGGTCTACACCCTTCAGTTTGCGCTGATGCCGCAGTTTTGCAACATACTTTAACGCGTTCCATGCAGGAACTCGATCATCATCCAGACAAGCGGAAATCATCATCCCTGGGTACGTAACACGGCTATTTAGGTTGTAATAAGGATCATATTTATGCAATAAAGCCAAGTCAGTTTGGTTGTTTAGTGGATCCCCCCAATCCTCACGCTCAGCAAGGGAAAGCGGTAAGTCTGGATCGATCATTGTGTTGATTATGTCAAGGAATGGTGAGCGCATAAGCACATTGCCGAACAACCCACATCCACGAATATTCATTGCTGCTGCAATAGGTACGCACCCTGCACTATTTCCAGCAGCGACCATCAGTTCAGGCTTGGTGTAACCCATTTTTACCATATGCTCGCAACATGCAATAAAATCTTGTGTTGTTTTAATTTTTTGGGAGCCCTTGCCGCCTTCAGACCAACCGGGTAACTCACCACCACCACGGACATGTGCAAATGCCACGGTCCAACGGCGACGAATCATCCACATGTAGGGGGCTAATTGAAAGTGCATCGAAGGGACCTCCCCATATGAACCGTATACATAGATCAAGCAATGTTTGGGGGAATTTGGTTTTGGCTCAAAATCAGTCAGCTCCTGTACAAATGCGTCTTTGCGCTGGCATATTGTAATGGGAATCTCTGTTCCATCATCAGAAATACAGAAATCACGGTACATGCTATAGGGCCACATGTAATCCCAGGGAGTAAATTGTTCCGACTGACGCTGCGTAAACAAAGCATCAGACGAACAGAGCTTGGCTTTCGCAGCGGTCATATCTGAATTGAAATTGAAGACACAATCACGACTCGGTTGAATAATGCTACTATACACAAATGACATTGAACTTTGCACGAAGTTTTTATTCAAGCCTGGTGTTACGGATGTGAGCGGTGGAAAGTGCAAGACTAAATCATCCTCTCTAGCTGCTCGCGCCGCCGCCTCAATGCCATGATCCAGCTTTACGACTCTTATATGGTTTATTCGCTCGAAAGCATAATGGCTCTCATACAGCACAAGCCGACCTTCGAAGATGTCGATATCTGATATCTGAACATCCTGTCTATGTGAAATGAGCTCCTTCCACTCTGTATTCACTCCACATTTAAGAGCAATTTCATCACGCGCGTACACGACTCGAAAGTTTGAGCCTTTATCTGACGTGACCATAACAAAGTAGCCATGGTAATGTTCGAGCCAATTCCATCCCCTCTTTCCAGCAATCTCTATCGGTTTCCCTTCGGGGAAAAAATGACTCAACTCAGTTGGGATCGCTGGATAGGATGCTGGTAAAATTAAGACGTTCCCATTTACTTTAGAATCCGAAGTTATCGCAATATACTTGCCATCTTTGGTCTTTCTAATATCGACAAAAAACTGTTCGTCATTATCACAATAGAGCTCTTTTGGAGGTTCCAGAATTCCTGGGCGAATTTCCTGCATCATGACACGATGTGGCCGGTTTAGCTGATTTGATTCAGTAAAAAAAAAATTGTTTCCAGAGCCAAACTCGATCCCCACAATATTGTTCCCACGAATAACATGGAAAAGGCTTGCATTATCGATGCTCCTTACATGACAAATATATCGATCTCCACCTTCTATAGATAGTGTGTACGCTAAATACCGACCATCCTCTGAAACACGACAAACCCCAATTGAACAGTCTCTGTAACCAAAGTGCTGTTGAAGTAAAACAGGGTTTATAAGCTCCTCGGCGAGTATGTCAACTTCACCGACTTTTTTTCGGTAAAAACCAATGGCATTAGAGTCATGGCCAGGAACAATGCGAGTGAAATAAATGTAGTCACCAATCCTCTCCTCACCCTTATCGTATCCCCCCTCACGCGTTGTAACTACTACTTTAGCATCCAACTCAGCCCATAGACGCGCTTTAGTGTGCTTAAGATCAAACTTAGCGCTGAGCAGCGAAAAATGAAGCATTTCCTTCTTGACATATTGTAAAGTATCACGATCAAACAAATCCTCCATATATCGAAACGGATCACTCTTCTGCTTTCTGTCATGCAGTATAAATGATTCAGGGATTTCCTTTGGCAGGGGGCCATCTAGTACTGGAAGAGGGTACGTATTGCGTATCTGCGGGCAAAAATGATTTACTGCTTTTCTTGAAGCATTGTAAAGCCAGTTTGATCTTGGTATCCAGGGATGCAGTGAAGTCATCTGGCCTACAGGAAGAAGCTAAAAGAAGGAATAGACTAACTACAAAAAACGGTCGTTCCCTGCATGAGCACAGGTAAACAAAAATTAATAATATAATGGAAAGTGAAATTTAAAAAAGAATGATACTGTTCAAGTGGAAATAGAAACTTTTATATTGATGCGAGACTAAATTTTTCAGTCACAGGAAAACGAACACAAAATCTCATTATAGGAATTTAAGAAGTATCCTCATGTATTTGATTCAAGATTAAAAAAAACACTACTTTCCACTTGAGGAAAATAACAACAAGTGTGAAGAGCGTGTAAGGGGCTATTTCCTATTTACTTTTCGCTTGGATATCAATTTTATGTTGTGAAGCTTGTGAAAGGCCCACAATCGAGGCACTCCCCTCCTTCAAAAATTTGGGCAGCCAATTGTCCTTAAACCAAGCGATAGTGTCCTCCCATCCCTCAGAAAAAGAAATTATTGGCCGGTAACCAAGATCTTCCTCAGCCGCATCAATACGAAACCATCGGTTCATGGTCAAAACAAAAACATTAAAAAGATTAAGCTTGAACGTTGTGTGCATTAGACGGCCCAAAACCTCGGCAATCAGCGCAGCAATGTAAAGAAACCAAAATGGGTAATGGATTTTTTTCTGGATTGAACAAAAATTCATTTTTACGATAGCCTTGTCAATTTCTTTCCAAAATATACAATATGCTCCTGGCTCTGGGTGTGTGCTCCCATCTGTTACGATGTAAAACTTTCCAAGAATTGGGGATCCCCTGAAGAGTTTGCGTTCAGCAATAATCAATCCATGACAGTAATTATCTACATGTGTAAAGCAAATACGGTTGTCACCCTTCGAAAAAATACGAAGCTTTCCTGTACCAGCAGCCTCTAGAACATTCGGGAGAAAAAGATTGTCACGTGGCCCATATACTTGATGTGGTGCAACAGAAACTGCCCAGAAGTCATCATCACATGCAGCTGTCACAGCCATTTCCCCCTCCGCCTTCGTCTCCGCATACATTTGCATGTAACGATTAAGTGGAAGATGCGGCATCTCCTCTTCAGTAAGTCCATCAATATTCGGACGATGAAAAAGTGAGCCTTTAAAACGAGTGGAAGGAGAAGAACTGAAAACAAGCTTTTTTACACCATGTTCTTTACATGCCCGAATAACATTTAGGGTGCCGATGTAGTTTACCTTTCTGTAAAGGTCAGGTGGGTGAAACGGGCCGACCGCCGCTGCAAGGTGCCAAACACAGTCAGCACCCTTAATAGTTGAAGAAACATCCTCGAAGCAAGTAATATCAGCGACTACATACTTAATCAATGGATGGTTCCATATCCCGATTCCCTTTTCCTTAGGAACTATGTCAAAGCTGATTACTTCTTCTGCACCACGTTCCACTAGCATTTCCACTAGTCGTGTTCCAACAAAACCAGTCCCACCGGTGACAACGCACCGTTTAGGGACGGGTGGATAACAAGCCGCAGCCGCTATTCGCTGCGCATAAGAAAGAGCGGGATTGAGCTGAGTTTCGCTCATTTACGTAGTGGTTGTCGGTCTTGAATGAGTTATAATATTGCTTTCATGATAATAATTGAATAGAAAAGTGTTGATTACGGGATTAATTTATTCAGCATATTAGAAAAAAAAAGCAAGCCAAGATAAGAATGGTGTGAATAAAGATTCTATTTTACCTCCAACTCGCTACTTAGCACTTTAATATGCGGATCAGACATTAATAATACAAATGAAAGTATGACGGAAGAAAGTAAAATTATTTACTAAACCACATAGTGGATAATCTCTCTAGAACGTTGTAACTAGATGTTGTATCTTTCCACAAATCAGTAAGTGAAGTTCCTACTGGCAAAAATGATGGACCCTCGCTGCGCATCTTCAAGTCAGGGCTCCGTTTACGATCAAAAAGCGCGGCATGTAGCGCCCTTTCGTTGCTACTGCCTCTACAAGATAGTACTGGAAATGACGTAAATATGCAGTCACGACACAACATTGTTAAGCGGTCACAATCCCGGCATGAAGGACTTGACCCAAATTTCTTTATATCGCTTGAGACGTCAATGAACAGTGTTTTTTTTAGCTTTCTACATTTTTCGCTAAACAAAAATTTCTTTAAGCAGTACTTTTGTGGAGACATTTTTTTGGCGAGCGCCATCACCCCACTGGTGTTCATTGAAATGAATTTTTTTTTTTGTAACAGAAAGTTAGAAATAATACGTGGGTCTATATATGGAGTATTGTCTGCATTTGTAGATGGTGAGCGCCCATTAAGAGATAAACAAATCATGCTTGAATCTACAAGCCCAGTGAAGAGGAATTTATACGTAGCACTTCTTCCATCTATCATTATTGTTTTTGTTGACCAGGACGAGTTTACTAGAAAGCCAGAAAGCTCTCTCCCTTCAGGAATATTTAAAGCCTCGGCAGTAATAATATATTTCCATATACCAACGCAAAATGAAATCCACGGAACTGTATGTTTCTTTGATACACAGACTTCAAGCTGAGGCAGACCGGTGTCCTTTTCTAATTTTTTACTCAAAGATAAAGTGCAATTAGGTAGAACATCAGAGATGAGGTATCTTATTTTTTCTGAAACAATTTTCCCGTTTTTATGAGATCCCAAATGATCAAGAAAAACAGTGTTGCTCGATAGGAATATCTGTGAGAATGCTGCCTTTGATTTCATATGCAGGAGCATTTCGGATCCCATAGGGAGTGTAACCGAAAGTGGTACTGGCATTGCCTCATTCCCTCTGCAGTTCAGCTGCTGATATGCAGAGCGTCGATCCTTGGATTTTGGAAACAATGCCAGTAAGTAATTCAACACAAATGCCTTTTTTTCAATTTGTAATAAACAGCACAGTCCGGTAAAAAAATGTATCACCTCCCAGAGGGGAATGCAAGATGCAGTTGCTAGCGCCGACCCCTGCTCGCAACTAAGCGGAAGTTCTTTCCAAAGCCTTTCTATGAGTTCCCAGAAGTAGAAAGACTCAGAGCAAAATAGTATAGATCGGGCCGCATCGCTGTTTAGCAAACTCAGTAACTTAGAAAACTGACTATCGATAATCTCTTGAAGATTGGACATACTTTATATATTATAGAAAGGAATAAAGCTGTTACTTCAGAGAAAGTAAAATGTATTCATTGCAGTCCAATTAAACTAAGTGTCATTGCATTCAAACTGTTGAAATGCACATCGGCTTTGGCCTGGATCCTATAATAGGCAGAAGGGGGGAGGGGGACGCCCATCCCCGGCAAAAATAAATAAATAGAGCATGTGGAGAAAGGAATCACGCACCCCAAACCTCCCCAACAATCCTTTCTTTTTTTTGCCCGTGTTTGTGCAAAACGCTGTATTTTAAAGCTGCCCATAAATTTACATTGAAATCCGAAACATAAAGAATTGCTTAAATAGCTAAGAGGACTCAAATAATTTCAGCAACCGAAGAAGGATAATCTAAAAAGAAATATAACGCTGCATTTGCCCGCACTTGCGCTCACCATCTTTCCGCCCACCCCCCGGCACAGTTCTTCACCAAACCATCGGTCGCCAAACAAAGACCCTGGCATGGGTAAAAACGGCACAAGAACAGAACGCAAATCTCATACTAAGAAATTTGTCCACTAATCGATAAGCCCTATTTTCATTTCAAAAGCACGAATTCGATGGAAAAAACCGCGGGAATTGATCAAAAATTAGTTTCGTAATCGACACAGGGGGGGGGGCCCACCGGGGCCATGGTGCGCGGGAGAAGCCCTTGGATTTTCATTCCTGCCAAACATCGAGGATGCGTTGATATAGATCAGCAAGCTAAGGGGCAGGAAAAGCGGATAAATGCCATAATTTTAATATTTTTTTTGGCCCATTTGCAGTTATTTTTGGACCACCGTTATTCCCTGGTGTGGTATAACGTGTGCCACGGGTGCGCCAGAGGGCTATGTGCGTAGTTGTTTCATTTAGGACGTGCAAATTTCTTTGTAAGATAAAGCGTGCAGTCGTTTTTTCATAAATGATTATCAGCGAGGGTTCTGCAGGAAATTTTTATTTTTTAAGTAATCGGTGTGGTTTTGCTTAGCGGGTTGATTTTTTTTGCCAAAAAAGAATGACTTAAAATTTGAAAAAGAGGAAAGTATCGACATAAATAGATAGTAGTTACAAAATTATTCAATATGAATTTTAATGAATCGCAACCTTTAAAAATCTCATTTGAATTACTTTTCATTGTGCCTATGGGCATTAAGAACAAATTAAAACTAAACAGAGTCAACCACAACAAGAAATAAATAAAAAAATATAAAAATTAAAGTGTCGAGTATGAATAACACTAGTAAGCAAGCAGTCCGTGTGACTTACATTTGGCTTTCAGGGAAGGATTCACACCATGATATTCGCAGCAAGGATCGCACAATGTATCTTACGCCAGAGGATATAGCAAAATCCCCAAAGTCACTTGTTGCTGAAGGTGTATTTCCTGTGTGGAATTTCGACGGTTCATCAACTGGCCAAGCTAAAGGTCTCGACACAGAGATTTTGCTGAATCCTGTGAATGCGTTTCCTTGTTGCTTACCTCACTTTTCAACTAAGATTCCGTGGATTTTAGTTCTTGCTGAGTGTTATTTACCTAATGGTGAGCCGACACCGGACAATTCCCGGGCATTGGCGCGTCAAATATTTGAACAGCTTACGGATGAGCACCCTTGGTTTGGTTTGGAGCAGGAGTATTTTTTGATTAAGAATAACCGGCCATTTGGGTGGCCAGAGAAAGGGTTTCCTGCTCCCCAAGGTCCATATTACTGCTCCACAGGCTCTCAGAGGGCTATGGGGCGTAGTTTCGTTGATGAACATTACGAAATTTGTTTGGAAATGGGCCTAAATATTTCAGGCACAAATGCAGAAGTAACACCGGGACAGTGGGAGTTTCAGGTGGGCCCTTGTGAAGGCTTGGAAATGGGGGATCAAATAATAGTTGCACGGTGGGTACTTCTTCGTATTCTTGAGAAATATGATTTGGACGTTGACTACAGTGCGAAGCTGATTGAAGGTGACTGGAATGGTAGTGGGCTACATACAAATTTTTCTACCAAGACGACACGTGCCGAGAATGGGATTGAGGCCATCTACAAGTATGTCGAGCGACTAAGTGAATCTGTGAGTAAGGACATTGTATTTTATGGCGCAGAAAATGACAAGAGGCTAACAGGAAAGCACGAAACATCAAAGGCCACTGAGTTCACTTCAGGCGTTGGTACACGTGGGACATCCATTCGGATTCCGAATTCAGTGGCAACTGAGAAAAGGGGTTACATGGAGGATCGTCGCCCCGCTGGTGATGCTGATCCATACTTAGTGACGTCACGTTTATTTGCATCCTGTGTCGGACTTGAGACACCCTCTCTTGATCTAGCTTCCCCAACTCATGAGAAAGAATGGATGAGAAAAGCCTTTTGTTGATTTCTTTTTACGATATATATGATATTTAGGGCTTATTTTAAAGGACAACAAATAACTAAGTTTTCTCATTAATATATATATAACTAAATTTTTATTGTTAAAAAAAAAAAAAGCAAACAGTTTATTGATTGTGATCGATACTATTAAATATTTTTTGAATCTAAATATCTTCAAAGTACTATTAATTGTTGAGCTCCTTCTAATTTTTTTCTCTACAGGTTGGAATGCTTTCCTTAAAAAGAAAAAATACCCATACAGGAGGTTACTTCCTAAGTGTCATAATTTTTATTTTCGCATATACATATATCGTAGATACAAAGCGTGTCATTCTGTTTTTTTTTAAGGTATGTATCTACTTCCCGATTTTACTTTCTTTTAAACTTTGAAGTATAGGGTTAAAAAGTATAACAAGGAGAACCTAAAATGCAAAATATTGGTTTAAAACAAAATGATGGAAAAGACGTCTCTCCTTTGTCTAAGCGGAAGCGGAGGAGGAAGAAATCCAAATCTCTTTATGAACAATATTTTGAGGACTCTGCCATGAAACGAGTTTTGGCTAGCTGTTCTGAGTCAGACGACGCTAATTCTGAAATGGATTTGGATTTTACGGTGGGAATGGACATAAATATTCTTATACAGCAAACAATTCAAAACACTATTCAAAGTGTTTGTCTCGAAGATTATGATGGTTTCTCGTCTTTTGGTGATCATGAGCTTATTTGTTTTGCTGCCGCAATAAAAAATAATACTTCAATTGTATCACTTCAGATACGTTACCTGGATGTAAGCGACATTTCGCTTGTATCTTTATGTAATGCATTGCTAAAGCACCCTAGTCTTCGGGCGCTTGACTTGTCCGGAACTCGGGGTGGCGAAGCAACTAGTGCAGCACTCTGTAATCTTGTGTGTACAAATTCCTCGATCATATTTGTTCGTGTTGATGACACAATCGTCAACAGTAAAGATAGTGAGATAATTCAAATGGCAACTCAATATAATGCGATGATTTGTGCTGATCCTAATAGTAATCCATTTCAGTTGGGCCTTTTACATAAAATAAGTTCTATTGAAGAAAAAGAGCAGAAATACAATCAACAGTTGAATGCAAAACCGTGGCTCTTGCCCGAAGAAGATCTCCCTAAAAATATTAGCGATAAATCTAGTTCAAATACAAAAAAAAATTGAAAACTTCAGTAGGTAGGGGTATGCAATTTGGGGCTGAGGTGTGTACTCAGTTTATTAACGGATGCTGCGCTTACGGCTCGCGTTGCAAGTATTTTCATCCTGAAAAAACATGTTCTCTTGTAAACCTAACTGCAATGAAACAAAAACACTGTGATATCAAGGATTCCCATCCTCCTAGTTTTTCAATTGTAAGCTCAACCGCTCCTCGTCATCACCCTCCACAATGTCGCTTGAGGCCAGCATATTTTACTTTGAAACATCACTGTCGTAGTAATTGTGTAAGCGAGAATAAACTTCCTATCCTCAATAACAATATAACAAAGGAATCGACTGCGTTCACGCCAGTAATTTTTTCATTATGGGTGTCATGCTTAACTGCTACGGTTTGCAGTATAACGTTTCTTTCTGTTTACATATTGGAAAGGGAATAAAATGGTACTGAACTCCTCGAGGTATTTTTTTGTTGTTGAGATATTGTTTATTCCGTTTTAAAGATTGTATGTTTGTCTTTTTTTTTGACATCTAAGTTATTTCATTAATATGAGCTAGTTATATTGTTCAACCTAGGAGTTGTAACCCGTGCATAGGGTAAATTTTTGTCTTACAATTTTTCCCTCATCAAGAATAAAAGTGACACATACCTAGTTTTTTAAACAACCAGATATATTGAAATTGTATCATTCTGTCCGTTTCAAGATATGCTATTTTGCTTTGATGTATCCTTCCCTCCACTAAAAAAAATGCAACTGTCAGGCAAACTAATTTTGTTCAAAATATATCATTCCTTTATTATTAGAATAATTAATATTCAATCGCTGTTACATTTTTTTCTACAGCATCTGATTGGATGGATCTTTCCTTGCAGTGAAGTCCGTTATGACTTCAAATGCAAACTTTCAGTTTTTTTGTCTTACATTTAAAACGGAGGAACATTATTTCTGCTGCAGCTAACAAGGGAAACCCAACGTATTTCATTTACATTGGATTAATATTGTCTAAAAGTTTTGTCCATGTCTACTCAGAACATTAAAAATAAGAACGCGAGTATAACTGTACGGAGGCTTAATAATCCATCTCACCTTAAGGGTCAAAGTAATATTACCGATTTTTGCATTACTGACTTGAAGGTTATATCAGAAAATGCCGAGCCACGTGGGATAGCATCATTAGAGGAATGCCATCAACTCGTATCACCCTCCTTCATTCCTTATCTCGAAGCAGCTTTGCCATTTAAAAGCATCCACACCTCAGCTGCGTCTTTTGGGGGTGCTTGGTTTTGGGAAGGTTACCGACACGCACTTTTCGGAGAGGATATTATCTACCATCTAGGTGGCTCCAGCAATAGCCTTATGGAGGATAGAATAGATTCACAGAAAGAACTGCGAAATCAGCTGATGTCACAGAAAGTGTCGACCAATACCACCATAAATAAACAGCCTTCAGCTACGGATCGAATCTGGCTACACGGATCAGCAAAACTTGAAGTAATGTACGCTATCGCACTTTCGATAGCATTGCACACTTCTCATCAACCTCTAATGGACCAGGCTGATGGTCCCCACGCGCTTATCTTGTGTGCTTCTAAGTATCAATGCGATGAGATGGCATTTATTCTTAATCAGTTCTGCGATGAGCTTCATCTTGTAGTGCACAATCTGTTCGAGCCTTTCCCTTCAATACCTTCATCCCAGCGAGCTGATGTGGTGGTGGGTACTCCCCCGCTGTGGGATAGCGTGGCAGAGCTGGGGAAAGCATGGGATCGCAGAGGTTTGGAAGGGATAATAAGTAACATACATGGTGGTAGCCCACCACCTACATATACTTTGAGCAAATGGAGACCTTACTCTATTCGAAACGTGTCACAACTTGCTCTTTTTGACTTAGAGTTGCAAATTAATATTGGGTTTGGGCGCATGTTAGTTCAAATTCTGACTACGTCTGATTCGAATCTTGTTCCAGATTCTTCTCTACTTCCACTTCGTTGCCAAACATACTCAGTCTTTGGAGGTGATCGTCCAGTTTATGATGTTGATCTCAATTTCACGCTGTTGGAAATCCTTCGAAGTCGAGGAAAACGAAATGAGGAAAAAATTTCAGAAATATCAATTCAAAGCTCGGTCTGCTTTACATCTCACACAAAAAAACGCCTTAGGCTAGAAGAACCTACTCTACCGTCCCCGCTTCCATCTAGGAAGATTCTATCAAGCGGTTTGCTAATCAGAAACGCAGTTTCGTTTTCTCGACTTCTTGTTGACAGTAATGCATTTCAAGATTTCGTTGATGGTATTTTAGACAAGGCAGCACAGTTTTGGATTAATTTTGATCCTTTACAAACAGATGAAGCTATGAAAGACAGTGCAACGGGAAGGAATCTGAGGTCGGGCTTGTATCGCTATATCAAATGCATTCCAGTATTTGTTTGCACAACCGAACCGGAGGCTGGACTTCGAGTTCAGGAGATGTGTACTTTACTCATTCCCGAAGAAAGGAGCAAGAATGAGGACGACATGGTCACAATGAAAAGTTCTCGATATAGTCTTCTTTTTAGTCATCTTGAAGAGCAATTAAATGGTGAATTGTTTGACGGTAGTGTTGTTTCATGTGTAAACTTTGAAGACATTCTGTTTCGGAACTATCAATATGAGTTCGTATCAGTTGAGGGACAAACTATGGGTACGGTTGATCTCTTTCAAGGCTATTTTAGTGAACTGAATATGGCGCAATTCTTGTTGACGACTCATGTTGCTCATAAGGATGATGAATACATTAAAGAAGTATCCCGAATAGATTTATTTCGAAATCATTCATGGATATTACTGCATTCTAATTCTGAGGTCACATTTGACATATTGACGCCATCAGGCAATGAGTTTGAGTGTATCCCGAGTTATGCGTGCTTAACTCCGGTGCATATAAGACATACCTTTACCGTTGTGGTTTTACGTAATGTGGCAAAATCTATAGAAGCTCTCTGTCGCTGTCAAGCTTCAATACGCAATGAAGAATCGGAACGTATATATATAAAACCTTTTGCACTCTTTTTGCTAGAGGAATGTTGTCAATATGGGCGTGTGGTCTCGTACTACTGTTTTGAGCAAGATAAAGTGGGTCGTTCCCCGGATAGTTCCGGTGCTGCCTCATCTTATGAAAGTGGTGAAGAGATATCAGAAGAAAGTTTCAAGCATAGTCCCACTGAAGCAGAAAACAGAGAATCAAGGCTTGCCATAGTTAGACGTACATCTACAGCAAAAACAGCAACAATATTTATAGAGTTCGAATCCCATGATTCTGCACTAGAAGCAGTTCGGTTGCTGCGAGAACGTTTTCATTCCTACACAGCGTCTGAAAAAAACAATGATGAGATGCTTAGTCCCAGAGTACATTTGTTTCGCAATACGACGTATTACAGCGGTGTCGAACAAGACCTCAAACAAAAGAAAAAAATTCAGACTGCATCGCATGAAGAAGGACATGAGAACGATATACTTGATTTCTGTTTCTTACAGAGTAGATAAATAATCGCTTTAGGAAAAAAAAACTATAAGCGAGTACATGCCTTAAGACAAAAAATTCAGAATCATTAGAAACAGAACTAAAGACATCAAATTATTGTTCAAGCTAAGGGAAAAGAATCCTCGTGGAACCCCTCGGTCCACAGGGCGCACCTAGCAGTAAAGGTGCCCAACGAAACACGGTGTTAGCCTGTATTGCGTTTTACATGGACCTGCTTGCTGATGCTATGCTCTCCTTTCTTCACCCCCGCCTCCTCTCTCCGCCTCTCTCTCTTCCTTTCCCTTTGTCACGCAGCCTTAATTTTAAGCTTTCAGAACAATCATCCTCATCCTCATCCTTTACTACCCTCGCATCGTCGTCAGTTGCACCGCGTCTCTTTTCCGCCCCTTCCTCGCGTCACACGTCGAACGAAAATAAGTTGCAACCAATAATCCGAGATCATTCTGCCAATCATGCCCCGTGTGTACTGGAGGACCTACGTGCTTGTCATGGCATCGATTCTGATGTTATGGTGTGGCACAAGCATGGCAGATATCGAAAACATTTACTCCGCCAACGTGACGACGCAGGAGATCGTGGAAGCCTTTGCCGCCCCGTTCGTGTCCGTCGTCAGCGGGAATGCGCATGCCGGTGATAATGGGAGTGTGTGTGTGGCGCATCGCGCCGATGGGCTCTATATTCCACTAGCATGCAGTGTGATGGGTCGTCTTTACGGCGTTGTGAGCAACGGGACGCTTGATCCGTTGCACGGGTGCTACCTTTCCGCCGCTTCGGCTGACGGGACGCGCTCGTGTGTGGCGCATATTTCGTCGTCTCCCGCCGAGTGTGGTGGCGTTGGCGCGGAGTCTCTGAACGCCGCGGCTTCATCGTTGGATGTGGGGCGCCGCGACCACGTGTTAAAGTCGGGTGCAGAGGCGCTGGTGGCGAGCATGCAACATCCATACGGGGCTGAGCAGCTGACGCTCGCGCGGTCTTTGCTACACACGCGAGAGGTCGAGAGCTTACTGAGCACGGAGGAAGCACTGCTAAAAAAAAGCCTTTTGTGTTTAGAGTTAAATGCTGAGAGGAACGCACGACAAGCTGCTTGTGTTAGCCGCATCAGTAAGCTGGTCCAAGGGTCATACGACACTGTGATGGCCAAGTACGGCGTACTGAAGAGCTGGCTAGGCCAGTCGCTTGGTGGTGTTGGTGACGCGCCCGGGGACGGCCCTATGCTGGGCACATCACTGACTGCGTGTCGCCTGAATGAGTCCATGGAGAAGCTGCTCCACGCACTGACCCCGGAGGAAGTGATGGATGTGGCTACTCGTATGATGAACACTCTAAGTAATTCTCTAGAGAGTCAGCCGGATTCCGCGGACAAGATTCAGCCCGTGTTGTGTTTACAGGGGATCTATGCTGTGGCTGTACTCGCGATTGAGGACGCGAGAATTCGCAGCTTGCGTCAGAAGCTTATCAAGGGGACGATATCTGAGGCCGATACATCGACACACACGGAGTTGCTTTCGCAACTGTCTACGT